TTTTTTTTTTTTTTTTTTTTTTTTTTTTTTGTTTCAGGTGCTGCTGCTGCTGCTGTTCCCGCGACCGAAGGTAAGATACCGTTTTATTTCGTCTCATTGCTAGATAAGGGTTATAATCGTTAATCAGTTTTAGTGGGCACCGGCACTACTTCCGTCTCACGAGCAGAGCTGCTTTTTAGCAGAATCAAAAATGGCATGGAGCAGAGGAAGCTGGAGCTGCGTCAGCGTTGGTAAGTGTGCTATTCCCCCCCCCTCCCCCTCCCCCGTGGATTAGGGCTCATGGTGACACCACGTTAAAAAAAACGCGCCGAAAGCTCTACCTCCAGGAGCAGTACCGTATCATTTTCCTGGTCGGACTTTCCTAAGGTGGTGTGGAAATGAGCCTTTCAAAAGTTGTTTCCCCATTCCTTTTCGAGTTGTGCTTTCTAGTTTCTACCTGTACACATGAAAAACATAAATAAGTAACGTCAAAACCTAAAAATCTTTTTATTGAACCTTGCGAAACTGAAATTTTCAGGTGAGAGCATTACGAAGTTGTAGAAGTGTGAATTTTTTTTTTATATTCAGAGCAGAAATTCAAAATCTTGCAAGTGTTATCAGGTGTTGCTATACCTAATGTTCTAAGTTTCCAATAGACCAAATTTAGAGGTTTTATTCTCTGCAAGGATTACTAACCAAAATGGCTCCTTGAAGTTTTCTATGATTTACTTAGAGTACATGATTATAAGTATGTTGGTTGATATTCACTCAAAAAATAAAACATGATCGGAGACTTATCGTCGCAAACTAAAAAACGCATTTTTCACTTTTCGTCGCAAACTGGAAAACGCATTTTTCGAGTTCAGCTATGAAGATGTGACCGACAAAGGGGCCCCAAGTAGCACAGATTGCAATACGTAGTAATTACATAATGTAAATATTGCTATTCGACTGAGTGTTGTGTATGTTACCTAGCTCCTATTTGAAGGGGCCCCATTTACTGAAACTTATTGCAAGATATCGACGGTGTAAGTCGGCAATCACATAACTCGGAAAGCGCGATTTTTCAGGAGAGGGGGAAAAAACTTTCTACATTCCTCATCTTTGAAGGTAGAGGAAAAATAATTCTTAGAGACAGCAAGAATAAGATGTTTCATAAGACTCTATCATCATTTTGAATAATATTCTTATCTGTCAGGAGAAATGACCGAAAAACCGAGTTACCGCTGGGGAGCAGAAACAATAATTAGTATAACGTTTGTAAATAGTACCTGTTTATAAGCGTAGTTAAGTTAGAGTCCACCGACTCACCAGCTCATATTTTAATCTCTCTTATTTTTATCAATAACGTAAAAACGGTTAATACTTTTGTATTTCTGTTGTATTTACAAAATAAAAAAAATAAAAAATAAAAAAAAACTGTTCACGATTCTTCTTCGGGGTTCGGGGTTGTGTAAAAATGCGGCGCGACGGCACGAGTTATGTGTTATTGGAATTAATGCCGAGATATGTGTTTTGAGTTCTACGTTTTTAGGTGACTTCCAGATTTTTTCGACTGAAATATTTTGACAGCAGGTAAAGGGCATCTACTACACTTCATTTCTGCAGCTCACTCAAAACCGCCAAAAATCGAGTTGTGTGATTTCCGACTTACACCGTCGATATCGACGGTGAAACTACCAAACCACGTATCTCGGTTTGCGACGTCGCAGACTTCCTGTCATACTTTATTTTTTAAATGAAAAATTACTTAACATCCAGTCTTGAAAATTTCTGTGATTTTTCCTCTTTGTGCGGAGAAAATTCCGTGAAAATTTCAAGGAATGATATTGATTTGGTCTACTTCAAAAAAATAAAATGTGAGCGTAGATTTTTAAACACCACAAACGAGATACGTGGTTTGGTAGTTTCACCGTCGATATGTCTTACGTTATTGACTGCTTTAGGCTCATCAATTTGGAGCAATAAAAGACTGGGTTCATAAACCACAACAACAAGTCCACGATGAAGCATTTGAAGGAAGCCTGCCCAAAGTTCCGCGCATAAAAACTTAGGAAAAGCTTTGACAAAAATCAAAGGAATGTTCCTTCCCAAATTTTCCTTTAAATAGGTATTTGAACTCTCAAACACCCTTCTTGGTACTCTTGTTCGCTGCCGGATTTAGGGGGTGGCCACATGGGCAGCGGCCCATGGCGGCAAATTTTGCAATTTTTTTAAATGTAGGTACTAAAAAAAATCGGATTTAGAAAAAAATTACAAACGGGAAAAGGCTACAAAATCTCTCATTTCCTGAGAGTATAGTAATTTCCAAGTTTGTCGTTTTTCGGTGATGCAAGAGACAGCACCTTTAATTAGTCGAGTAAAGAGAGAAACCAAACACGCAATCTGGCCTAGAGCGGGGCGGCGCAGAGAGCAATGATGACGAGGACTTTTTGCGCGGTCGACATGTAACACATATTAGCGCCTACAAGACTGCATGAATACTTCACGCATTGCGTCAAACACAGTGAGGTTGGCAGCAGTCGGCGACTCGGCGACTCGGCGTGAAACGCACAGCGCCTACAGGACTGTCGGAATACTTCACGCAATGAACCAAACACAGTGCGGCCAGCGAGGCGCGGCGCGGCGGTGGAAGCTAAAATTATTAAACCACATTGATGGTGGTCCTTTCATAATTTTTTCGTTCATGTCTGATAAATGCCTTGTCCACACAGAGATAGGTTTAGGTACGGGACTTAAACTTTCGCGCACAGTTCCGTGAACTTTTGCTAGTAGTGTTGACAGGGCTTTTGCAAAAAATGTGTCCAGCACAAATAAACGCGTCTAATGCACCCCTCCTCCTCCGGCACGGTCACTTGCTGGTTCTGATTGATGTTTTAAGAAGGAGGCGTCAAAATACAGGCGGCCCATGGGCGGCAAGTAGGTAAATCCGGCCCTGCTGTTGTTCTTGTTGCTTTTAACAGTTTGTTGCAAATTAAGCACAAAACACAATCAGAGCACCGTTGTTGTAACACATCAAACGCTCAAAACTTTCGCGGGCCATTTTTCATATAATAACATGAGAATTTAGACGACAGGGTAACCACTATCTCCATACCCTCACCCTCACCCTCAATCATTACTAATGAAAAAGGGCCTCTTTTGCGTCCCTCATGACAATGAGAATTTTCATCAGCGGTTTTATTTTTTCTTGAAATGGACTCGTGCTTCGTTGCAATGCATCCGAACTTTCGTCGAAAGTTATAGTTTTCTTTTTCATCAGTTGGTGTTACTGATAATCTCCTCCCCTCCTGATTCCTCCCTCTCCCCCCTTCACAACCTTCCCCTCCAAAGCGACTGTTTTTGTTTTTGTTTTCATTGTTATGATTGTTATCACAGATTTTTTTTGTTTTGATTTCCCTGCTTGTGTCGCCATTCGTTGAATGCGGTAACTCATAAATTATTGACGATTTTTAACTTCTCACGTGTGCAATGCGCTCAAATTAAGTGTTGCGGTGTCATTTCCATCCTCGTTCTCGCTGTTCGTGATAACGCTTTAATTACCCAGGATACTAAACAACACTCCTAATGATGGTCTAGTTTGTGCCTCATTTCCTTCCCTCAGATGATTGATCATCAACTCACGAGTTTTATGGCTCGTAGTAATCTTGCTGCAGTGTACATCTTCGTTTATGGAAGATTTTTCTTGTGACTTTTTACTGTAAACCTCTTTACAGGGCCGACGGACAGACATCGTATGAATCATGGCTCCGAATATAAATAGCGAGGAACTAATCGGATATTGGGGAAGACCAACTTCGACGGTCGATTGGTGTGAGAAAAACTATGAATTCAGTATTTATGTCGCTGAAATGAGTGAGTACCTTTTTTCTCTCTATGGGCTCAGCTGCATCTTTAGCAAAACGAAAGAATAATTGTGTCAACGGTGCAGAAAGGTTTCGGAAGCAAAAAATAGCTGTGATTTTAGTCCTAAAATTTCCTCTTTCTGCAAGAAAATTATTACATTATATTATATTACACTGTTTATTCATACTGTTAAGCCTTGTCGGGCTGATTAATAGGCTGCTGAGGAAAGAGATAAAAGAGTGAATAGGTAAAAAATTATGACAGGAACTGCGGAGGAGGCTGGCAGACAGCTATTCAGTCCTTGAGGAGACCCTTCAATAGCTCATTAATAGAGTCATAGGCGGTTCTACGGGGGTGCCAGGCACCCCCAAGCAAAAGTACGGTTACCGGAACCGTGAAATAGGCTTTTGGGCAAGTAAAAACGTCGAGAAAAAATCGTATGATGAAGCGCAAAAAATTGGCAATATTTTTATTTTATGAATTTTTGAAATCTGCAAGTGTCCAGTATTTAATGAATATGGGCAAGGGATGATGGGAGGAGGAGGGATCTCGTCATTTTCCACCTCTGGGCATCCCCAAGCATGAAGGTCTAGAACCGCCTATGAATAGAGTGAAAGGCTTCAGAAAGGCGCAGTTTAGAGGCATGATTGATTCTTTATTCCTCTAACGTTATGGTGCAATTCTCTTACCACATGAGCCACAGAAAGCTTTGAGATAGGTACTTGTACAAAGAACAGAGTTCACGCAGAAATTTAGATGCCCCCTTACATCAGAGGAGCAACGGAGTTCCTTTTTCGATAGAGGATCGTTCATATCCAATTGGAGGGCACTAAATATTTGTATAGGCATGAACTTGACATGATAGTAAAGCCAGGTTTTTTTTATCAGAGGAGCAACGAAGTTCCTTTTTCGACAGAGGATCGTTCATATCCAATTGGAGGGCATTAAATATTTGTATAAGCATGAACTTGACATGATAGTAAAGCCAGGTTTTTTTTTAAAAAAAAGTAAAAAAAAAATATCTGTTGTTTATTTTTACAATTTTTGTCCTTTTTTTTTTACTTTCAGGCAATACAATCAGTAACTTGATGATGATTCTTCCACCTTTATGGGGTATCAAAGAAATTATAAAGTACAAATTAGACAAGATCTTCATTCTATGCCAGATCCTGCTTCTGAGTGAGTAACAAAAATCACTTATTTTTTGCGGAGCTAGAAAGAAAATTATAAATTTCATCTCTATTGTCCAGGGCTGTTCAGCTCGTAATAGTTTTCATGATCAATGGACTATGTCGTTTTGACAATTGAGGGCATTATTCCAAGTCATTTGTTTTGCAGAAAAATCAACCAGTTGTCAGCTAATAAGTAGGTGCCTTTGGTGGGTTGATTCTCCTGCCCTAAAGAAGGCTTTGACTGACACTCTCGTGTGCCTGAACAACTCAACCGACCAATCATTTAACTCCATTTCCCATTTGTCTTGTCCTGTACAGTCAACAATTGTCAAAATTTCAATTGTCGGCCCACTGGTGGCTACATGAGAGCCTGAATTTTAAATTTAGCAAAACGGGGGTAAGAATAAGGGCCGTTTAGCCTCCACTGTAGCTGCATTTCCTCGAGTCTACGATTTTTTGCTCTTTGAAGGTCTATCTATTACGGAATGCATCATGATCAGGTCATTTTCAGTCTCTTTTTGGGGGCTGATGATGGCCTGAATATTGGCCTGAATTCCGATTTTGGTGAAAAATGCGGATTTTTTGGCATTTGACCAGGAATCCGCAATTTTTGCTCAGATCGGCCTGTAGACCAATATCTAGGACAGTAGTAGACCAGGAAAGAGACCAAAAATGACTCAACTATGATACATTCCATAAAATATAGAACTTCAATGATTAAAAAACTGTAGAGTTGAGAAAATTCAGAAAGGGCCCAAAAATGCCGTTTATTGATAACCTTCCTTTTATCCATTATCTCTTTCCCCTCTCTTTTTTTGTGAACGTTTGACTGTTCCAATTAGTTCCAATCCTTTTTAACTCATACAAAAATAGAAAGGTACGAATGGTTCACAATTATGGAGGGATCTATAAAGTGAATACTTGGTTTTCTTCCCACTTTCAGAGCAAAACAAAATCATAATGATAATAATAATACTAAACTTATTATAAATATTATGTTTCGCAGCTGTTGGTTTGGGATCAACGGCCTTCCATATGACCTTACTCTATGAAATGCAGCTGTTTGATGAATTACCAATGGTTTGGGGAACTTGTGTATCTGTCTACATTTTGTAAGTGATTTGATCATTCTCCTAGCCTAAGCACCAGTTTTTCAGCTCATCACAGCTTTCACTCATGTTTTCCTAGATCTTTCTGAAAGACAGGGAATGCCAATAACTTTCTCTTTTTCTCAAAAGCTGGCACCATTGTGTTTCTCGCAAAAGTTACATTTACAGAAGTACACAAATCACAAAGCCCTGATGCATGCAACAGCTCATTTCTTACTTGTACATTCTTCTTGTTTCCTTTCCATTCAATTGCTCATTGCACACTTTTTATAAATCGACGGTGTACGTCGGCAATCACATAACTTGGTTTGCGACGTCGCAGACATCCTGTCATACTTTATTTTTTAAATTGAAAACTACTCAACGGCAATTCTTTAAAACAGCCGTGATTTTTCTTCTCTGTGCGTAGAAAACTCTGCATAAACTTGAAGGAATGATGTCACTTTGTTCTCCTTTAACTAAATAATATAGAGGCGGAGATTTTCAGACACCGCAAACGAGATATGTGATTGTCGACTTACGCCATCGAAATGCTCTCACAAATCAATCTGAGCAGCAGTATACACTTAAAAATATTAGATGCAATGCAAAAATCAGAGACTTCGCTCATCCCTAACAACATTTTAAGAGAGTTAAAAAATTTTGCTAGTAACAGTATCAAATGTGTCATTCCATTATCTTTCTGAGCTTTGAAACTTGTGTTTTCCAAAGCTCTATTGCATCAAACGTTTTATGATAGTTCTCCCTTTCCTTGCTTACAGGAAAAACCTCTCGTCGGAGGAACCCAAGCAAATTCGAAATAATGGTCAGAACACTCTGAGAAAGTTGGTGCTTGCCTCAACCTTATTCTTCTTCGCTGTATCTTTCACAACCATCTACTTATGGTGGCCGCAGCCGTTCTTTCAACACACGAGTTTTGCGGTGCTCCTGTTTGTTTCATTTTACCTTCAGTACAAAATCACGAGAAATTCTCAATGCTCTCTATGTCAGAAATTTCTGAAGTTTACGATATTTTTCTTCGTTTTTGGTTTCTCACTTTGGATCATAGATAAAGCAGCATGCTCTCAATTAACGTAAGTTGCATTTATTCCTGAGTTTAGCTCTTGCTTTCTTACATCTGTATTTCTACAGAGTGATCCAAAAGTACTGCAACACCCCTATAACCCCTGAGGTTTTTGCCCCATTTCAGGGTAATCCCCTCTAAATTTTTGGGGGGGCTCCCATAAGTTTCCTTTGACTTAGAACTACTCACAAAATTACAAGTCCCTTCTCTGTTTGTTCAAAAATTACAGGTGTGATGCTTGATGCTGGTGGTACGGGACTTTTAGATCACCCTATGTATCGATAATGAAAGCTGCAAAACAAGTATCTCGATCGCAATTTTTCATAATTTTTGCTGTTGATCTTGGTTTATTTATCCTTCTATTCTATTCTTAAAGAAAAATCAACTGTTTGAAATTTCTACAAAATATTGTGTATTTTTTCTACGAAAGCCAGTAAAAATTCCAAGTAGTAATGTTTGTTTGGCCTCCTTTGAAGGAACAAAGAAAAACAGATAAATTAACTGTGTTGCAAATCAAATTACATTTTTTGCAACTTTCACCATCTATGGTTTCTCTTTTGTCAGGAAAAATTCCAAGGAATAAAGTTTATCGATCTTTCCTTATATCTAGATCCCTATTGAAGCCATTTGCCTGCAGCATATAGTCAATTTGAATGCATTATTTCCATTGGATGATTTTTTTGTAGATGATGTAATAGAAAATGGCTAAGGTGAAAATATCTCCTTTCCACAAGAAGAACCACTGTTATCTTCAAATTTTCATTCAGTCACTCAGTTGCAGAAGGGTGTTCAGAATGGTCTTACTGTGTTTGTCTCTTTGTTGATCTCCAGATCCTCAACTAAAGATTGTGGCATCATCCAAATATTTTGCATTTTGTGTTCTTTTCTCCAGGTTTCTATATTATGCCCTTTTCAGAATTTACTTGGTTATGTCAGAGAGACATGTGGTAATTCGCATCGATTGGTTCTATTTTTCAGCCACTTGCCATTTTTCTCAAATTTTGAGATCGCAACTCTGTTGTCGGGATACTAAAGAATTCACCTACCAAATTTGACAAACAAATTCAATGTAATAAAGGCGTGGTTTTTTTAGAGGAAAAATATCGTATTTGTGTGCAGTTTCGATATCAGTATCAAATGCAATATTTTTCCTCTAAAAAAATCTCGTCTTTATTACGTTGAATTTGTTTATCAAAATTGGCACGTGAATTCTTTAGTCTCCTGACAACAGAATTGCGATTTCAAAATTCGAGGAAAATGACGAGTAGCTGAAAAAATAGAACCAATCAATGCGATATATCGCATCTCGTTCTAACACAAAATATGGCGTCTATCGAATCACCTTAAATGTTTAAATCTTCCTTTTTATTATTGATCATTTTGAATTTCTTCTAAGTCAATTAAATCTCTCGATTTTTCCAGATCTCTACGTGCTAGGATTCCTGTTTACTTCAACCCTGTCACCCAGCTCCACAGTTGGTGGCACATATTTGCAGGATATGCATCCTATCTACAAATTCTTTTATGGTATATCTTTTGGAATATTTTCCTTGTCTAGAAGCGACTTTTATTTGAAGTTCCTAACAAGTTCAGTCCCGGTTTGTCTCATCAATCACCAACACCAGTGGACACCATTGTTACCAGATTCGGCCAATCAGATCCATTGGTTTTCGATAGGTCGAACCTTTTTTAGAACCACCTCGCGAGATGGGACCGAAATCATACATCAACATTGGGACTCATTAGTCACCGAATTGGAAGTTCCGAACTCAAATAAAATTGAAGCACGGAGGTCTGGGCGCAAAAGTAGGACCGAACTTCAAAATAAAATTTGCTTGAAGTCAGATAATTTGAATAAAGTCAAGCAAAACAGTCACATCTATGTTGCTGTGTTCCAAAATCTTGTGCCCTTTTTTCAAATTTTTGGATAGAAACCAACCAATATCCTCACTCAAACATTGTTGCAATATTTATTGCCCACACTGAGGTTATCTCTACAAAGTTGTTAGCAAAAAGTTCGTTGGTTTCTCTCTAATAAATTAAAATAGAAGATCAGATTTTGGAACACTGCAATTTAGATGTGATGGTTTTGCTTAACTCCATCCATTTTAGTCTTAGATCTTCCCCAGATGTATGGAAGTAAGTCTCTATAATATCAAACTGAAGTTTGCTTCGTGAGGCTATTGTCACCATGAAAAATGAACCATCTTTTATTCTCATTAACAATAGAAAGCAATCAAACATTAACTTCAAAACGCAATGAATGGCTAATCTAACAGGACACAGAAAATTTCAAAGTACATAATACTTGGCAATGGAATACATGGATGAAACATCATGTCAGTCTCTCCTCTTGATTTTTTTTGAAATTTTCCCAATTCACTTAACTTCTGGACTTTGGGTGACTTATGATGCAATATCAGCATGTTGCCGTGGAGTTTTATTTTCTCTCTTTTTTTTCTTTTTTCTACACTTATATTAAAAAAATTGAAAACCCACGGCATGTAAACAGAGAAACTACCAGATCACGTATCTCAGTTTGCGACGCTATAGACTTTCTACCATATTTTACTTTTTAAATGGAAAATTCTTCAACGGCAATTCTTGGAAACTTATGTGATTTATCTTCCCTGTGCAAAGAAAACTCCATGAAAACTTCAAGGAATCATCGTGATTTGCTCTTCCTAAAAAAAAATAAAAAAAGAGCGAAGATTTTTAAACAATGCAAACGAGGTCTGGTAGGTTCATCGTCAATGTGTGATTTGCTGGAACAGCACCTAACTCATCAAATTTTCTGTTTCAGTATTCATTCATGGTATGATCTTGAGATCAGTTCTTCAAAAAAGACACTGCGGTTCGAAAATGGTTTTAGTTTAAGGCCCACTGTTTCCAAAAAGCGGAGATGAAATTAATCATTGTCAATTGAAAGATAATACAAACAATTATGTCTCTGTTACCTCTCAGTCTTCACAGTGCATGAAGCATAAAGGATTTCGAAGTCAGGTAAGGGACCTTATCTCTTCAGCAGGTTTTTACAACAGCTGGCTCATTTTATACAATTATATTTACTAGTAATACATTTTTAACCTCTGTTTAGATTTCAAGCGCTCTACTAAAACCCAGACAACTTGAATAGTGTCGGAACCATCACATAGAAGGATGCACCATGCATTCTAGATGTGATGAGAGGGATACCTTAGCTCAAATATCTCTCTTCAAACTTTTCAGTATACTCAGTGTAATAATCCCTAAGTGCTACAGAAAAACAAAAATGGACAGTTTTTTAAACTGTCTCTACTGCCGCTAATTGCTTAAAGATTTAACTTTAAAATATAAAAATGCATCTCGAAAATGCTTCACATTAAGAGTTCAACTTGTAGTGCTTTGTAAAGGGATTTCTTATCTGAAACAAAGTATATGCCTCCATAAAATGTAAGCTTTTCTTGTTTAAAAAATATCTAGATCTCAGCAAAGCTTTAATGTACATTTATCATTCTATTTAGTAACTTAATTGCAAAATGGCTCAAATACAACGCTACAGGCTTGCATTTTTTTAAACTGACCACCAAGAGCTCCAATCATTTTTGTCCCGAAAAACTGCACTAAAGTCTTACAATTTTATGTCTGAAATTTTCTTTTCATTCAACCGTTTTCTCCAAATATTGATGTAAATGTAACTGAAAATCAAAAATATATTGTGATTTCATCATATGAAAAATCTGCAGTGATATTTTTTACAGGGTTGCCACAGTCAGGGAATACCAGGATATGTCAGGGAATTTAAAAAATACAGGGATTTTCTAGAAATGTTAGGAAAAACGACGAAAGTGTTGGGGAAAAATTGTTAAGTTGCCTTTACTTGGTTTGTTGAATGGTTTGATGTTTCGAACAACAAAGTTTGCCTAAAAACTATCTCAAATCATGTTTTTCTAATCATCTGGCAACCTTCAATTATCAGGGAATTTCGCCAAAATGTGTTCGGGAAATCAGGAAATTTCGTTTTCTGAGTTCTGTAGCAACCCTGTTATTACTTTAATTAGGATTGATATGATCTTAACTGTATGAGAGTAACCAGAAATCATTTTATACGGAGGTACATTTTCCAATTCTTTTGTTTCAAATACAAAAAAGGACTGTCATCCCTCCCCATTTAAAAACAGAGATAGGTTGTAAAAAAATCGTGCGATTTGTGATTGGCGGGACCTTGATTTTTTGTGGAGACAAGAGATTAAAAGAACCAAGCCTCCATCTTCATTTCTTAACTAATTATGCATTTGTCTCCCACTAAGTGGCCTTGAACAAATATCCAATATCGGTTGTTCTACTTTTTTTCTGAAATTTTGTTTCATGCAGAAAAAGTTTCGTTGATCAATTTAAGTCCTTCATCCACAGATTTAAAGCTTCCTCCATTTTTCCCTTGCACAGATTTCAAGGGACGCAAGTTTTTTGCGACAAGATGAATGTTTTGTTTTCCACTCTTTCATTGATACTCCATTTTTCCTTATTCATTGGGCAGTTGATTCATGCCCTCCAAATGAGCACCTCTTTTCAGAGTTTGAAAGAGTGTGCAACAAGTCCAAGATTTTAATCTTCTCTATCAATGACATAACTTTCCGTAAACGCTGTGAATCTTCCTGTAATCTAATTTTTTTTCCTCTTTCCTTTGTTATTATATTGTTATACTATCTTTTTCTGTTGTCTTTGTTTCGGAACATCTTACACTGCATTATTCATATACATATATTTGATCTTTTCAGTAATAGTAATGATATGAAAGTAATAAATTTTAATCCTTTCAGAATATCATTATCACATGTATACATATTCAACGCTTTAAAGCGCTCCTGGGTGTTCTACGACCCTTAACCACCACTGTTTTCTGTTACATCATAACCCTTCAGGAATCTTGTTTTTGAGCATTTGGCATCAAATACCATCCCTCCACGCCCTCATAAAGCGCCCTCTATGCTTCTCCTAGGAGTCCCATCCAGGACCCATTTCGGCAACTTTTCATCTGCCTCTCCCTGCACGTGACCGTACCATATTAGTTGTCTCATTATGACTGGAATGAGACAACAGGAGATTGTGGATAGCAAAAGAACAATATTGGTATTGAATTTTGAAGAAAAAAAAAGAAAACCGATAAAAAGGTAATTCCATTACGTTCCCACTCCCTTTTTGTTACCGAAACTCCGTTGGCAAGAAACAACTGCTCTAAGACAGATTTCTTAGCAAATCTGAGACTTTTATTTCCCTTGAAGCAACCAGTGTTGTTTAGGTTGAAATTAAATTTCATCAGTAATCATTTAGCATGTCGTCCCTTTCTGAGGTTGTATCATTTTGGCAATTTCTGCTGCGAACTGATCAAGCTTTGTATCAAGTTACCGATTGTTACCTCCTAATCTTTTTTTTTTTTTTTCAAATGCACAAAAGCACAAGTCCATTATAAATCTTAAAATTCTTAGAATTGGCCAATCCATTCTTCAAGTCTAAAGCTGTCACTCCTAAGCCACCTGATTCGACTGTTATTGTTACATTTTACCCTGAAGAAATGATATTTACAAAGTAGTGAAATTCAGTACTTACTCACACTTTATAAAATTCAAAGTTTGGGATTCTTTGCAGCCAAGTTGGCTGCTGAAGAAAGAAACTATCCAGAGTTGAAGCGCAGGGTTCAGAAAGGGCTCTTTTCAGTTGTGGTCTCAGATTCTCAGTTAATGTCACATCCATTATGATCGAAGCAAATGTTTGTAATTCTTGGAACTTCTACTGAATATTCTTTATGATGAAAAAATGCTCTAAACAAGACAAAATTCCGAAAAAATTAAAAAATGTTAGAGAATTCACATAGTAGTTTCCTCCCTCAAATGTAATTTGGAAGTGGAGGTTCTGAAACACTGCAACCTAGCGGTGCTCTTTCTGCATCCAGCGCCTCAGTTATGAGTTTCAAAACTGCTCCAATTTTAAAGTTATGAATGCGCAAAAAAAAGTGCTGAATTTAACTCATCTTAATGTCTCTCGCCAAAATTGGTTCAAGTAGATTGTGTTTAAGTTGGTCTCAAAATATTTTGTGTCAAATCAGAATTTTATTGTTAATTCTTAAAATGATTTGTGATTTTGATCAAATTTTCTGATTTATTTGTTGATACAAATACAATCAGCCCTAGATTTTTAAGTTTTCATTTTTGTTTAACCACCTATGTTAGAGGATAATGTTAGGCATTTATAGTACGAGCACAATCAGTGCACTAGCTTTTCATCAATTACAACAATAAATGAACTTCTGGTATCCTGACTGTATCAAGATTAGGTGTGCATTCACTCAAAGTAGGGTGCAACAGATTCTTTGAGTTGTATTCATAGTCGTTCCTTGAAATATCAGGCCTTTTTAAGAGGATTCTTGAGTCACTTTTTTTTTTTTTCAAAGAAACAATTTTTGTGTTTCGTTTCTAATCAAATTCTACATATCTTCAGCTATAATTCAAGACGAAAATCTTTAAAATCTGATCATTATTGAATAAGTTATGCAACGTTTTGTGACGCACAGAGAAATTCAATCCTTTTATTTGCTCAAAACTTCAACCAGATTTTCCTCAAAACAACGTTTTTTGATCTTGAGGTACACTTTTCTCAAGATCCACTGGATATATCTTCAAAAATTTTTTTTTGTTTTTTTCTTAACCTCTTTCTCAAGTTACAGAGAAGAGGGTTTTCCTTTATTTTCCTTCCAAAAAAATAAACTGTGAGCGCTTACATAGTCCAAATGAGAAGGTATCATTGGGAGCAAATGACACCAAGCCTTGCTAATTTTGAAAGTTAACACGGATGAAATTATGCAACTTAAAGTCAGGCGTTTCCACATAATTGAACACTGTGGCTAAGCCGTTGTCATGTCATGAGAAGGTATCGCTGGGAGCAAATGACACAAGCTTTGCTAATTTTGAAATTTTACACGGAAGGGATTAAGCAAATTAAAATCAGGCATTTGCACATAATCGAAAAATGTGGCTAAGCCGTTGTCATGCCGTGTTTTCAAAAATTTTATGAGGTAGATTTTCGCTTTTTTACCATTCGACGAATAATCAACATCTCGGTCACGGCACTGACATCAGGTAAGACGTGTTCCATTCCAAATTCATCTATAGAAACATAACGTCCTATTTTTTCTACAATTTGGAGATCACCTTCCTTAGCTGCAAATTTGGATGCAGCTCCTTGGGGTGTTGTACTTTGCACTTAAGATGTGCTCGGTTTGAAAAAATCATTGAGTGAGTGGAGCGGATCTGATCTACTTTGTGAGGTTTGAAGAGGAACTTTACCTGTCTTTGTGAGTCCAGTTTTTGTTGTTGCTCCTTTGGTAGAAAAATTCTTTCTTCAGAAGAGTCAGATGCCGCAACCTGTGATAGTACTGACGAAAAAGCCTTTTTATCTAATAATATTTGTTATATAATAAATAAAAAAAGTAAAGAAGACGTAATATTTATTTTTTGCGCCCCAAGAATTACTTCTGAAAACTAAACGGATCAAAAAAAAATCAGCACTTTTCTAAGCGCTCAACCAAAAACTAAGTTTATCTAAGGCCTTAGAAATAAGGTCTCTAAACTAAGCACTTATAAGCAGTTTTCTAAACTTGCACAAACCATGTTTCGTAGGTCTGTTCAAGACGTAGGTTTAGAAGAAGAGAAGAGACCGAAATACCAATGACAGGAATCTAGGCATCTCAGCCTTCATATAGAGACGCTCACGTCATTGAGAAGCCGAGTGATGAAAAATAATCATTGGATCGTGATTGGATGAAGCTACCTCGCTTATCTCTAATCTTCTCGATCAAGTCATCATACGGAAATGATAAGGGGCTTGGAGGACAAGGTGCATAAAGGCAGTTTTTGAAGAAGTTGAGATATTAGTGATTTCAAGTAAAACAAATCTTGATGCATTCTGCAAAAAATACGCTCGCAGATTCCAATTTTTGAACATCAAAAAGGTCACTGTGTGTCAACTTTCTTTTCTCTATAAGGATCCATGTAATTTTGAAACTACGAACATGTATTTCTCGAATTAGCAAAAGCTGCACATATGCATTGTCCTCCTTGCCCCTTAATTCTGTAATAAGATTAGGGGTTGAGTCACCCAAAAAAGGGACTTCTGAGTTGCTTAGGATTCGAAAAATGATTGAAGAATTGAAATAAGAAAAAAGTAAATATTTAGGTTTGAAAAATTTGGGAAAGTTTTGACAAACAGAAAAGAATTTTTTGGCCTCATTTACTAATTTTTTTTTTTTTTTTTTTTTTTTTTTTTTTTTTTTTTTTTAACATTCTCGAAAATTTCGAATTTTGAAATTTTTAAAAAATCCTCTCGTTTTAAGTTAGGAAAAAGAGTCTAAGAAATCCTACCAATAAGTTTCTAAAAACCCGTTCTGTAAAACCTGAGAAAAGTATGCCTTGGCATCAGCTTATTTTACATAGTGGAGATAGGGACCTATGATTCTCCTTAAGGAATGAGCCTCACCACTTTAGAACGACTATGAATACAACTCTATATCAAGTAGATCGATGGATACAAAATGTGTTGAGATGGTGAAGTTGTTAGAGGAGGTGATAAAAATTCAGGAACTAGTGTGTTTTTGGTGTAATTGAATGCAACAGTTGAAAGGGATGAGTTAGCCGATCTGAATGGTAATTGTTTTGTGCAAGAAGCAACGATAACATGACATACATTATAGTCGCATAAAAAAATATATTACTGACCATAATCTATATGCAATGCTACTAACTCTTTACCGTAAAAATTATGTAATTTTTCAACATTGTACGATGTTTCTCACAAGGAAACATATCAATGGCTAAGAAACAATACTGCCACTCTGCAAAAACTGACAATTTTATAGTGCAAAAAAGAAACTTCACCATTTTTGAAATTTTGAGGTTGGATTTGCAATTTCTTATATGCCTTAAGGTGCTTCCATGCGAAATTGAACAAAACTAATTATGTTCATTTCCTTGCGTATTTTATACTGTAGAATGCGGCAAAGTTGCTGACTCGTTTTTGATAAAATTGTCAGTTAGATGGTCTATTGTTTCTTAGCGCTCAATAAGCTGAAGTAACCTTTCTGTGATAGAAATTTGAGAAATTAATCAAATCGTCCTCATGATTCATATCATCTATGGCCAGAATTTTCTTGTCATTTTCTCGAACTTTTTTTCTAGTTCATCATTGTTAAAGTATATTGTAGATTGTAGATGTAAAACTTTTTATGTCAGATAACCAGTACTTTTTTATAAAATTATGTGTATACCTTTTTCTGATAAAGCAAATTTTGATGAGCAAAATAAACCATCAGCTCATTTTGTCTTTGAATGGCCCCGGACAAAGAATCTCAATCTCTACCTTTTTTGCTTCATTTTAATTGTTAAGTATTGATAAGAAGCCTAAATGGATTAAATTTTACAAATAGTAACTTCTATTCCTGGTTCATTTTATAAACAACAAATGTGCCGCTGGTTTCTTAATGAGGATAGATGCTTTTACCGATGATCCAGAAATCATAGTTCCTTATTACAAAATGTAGTCCAAATGTCGCTTAAACTTCACAATATAAGTACACCCTTTAAACTAGTCCCTTAACTTGCCTGGATTACTTTCTAATTATTAACTATTATCCACTGCATTTATTTCTACTCATTGTTTCTGGGAAACGAAAGTTCTAAAATATAATACTTGTAGTCTAAAATTATCAACTCATTTCTTACATGCAGCTGTGGCTCTCAAAAAAATTGGAAACTAAGGAGATGTAAGTTTCTGTCTGATTTATTTTTAAATTGGTGTGATGGGCCCCTTCACTTTGCTTGAAGAACCCTTTTTAATCAATTTTGTTGAAGGCGAAGCATTCAAAAATGCATTTAGAAACAATTAAAACAAACAAGGCTAAGTTAGTTACAGTTGTAATTACAGAGGTGAAAACAAAATACAAAAAACCAAAATATAAACGAACAGCTAAAACTGGTGATAGATATTTTAACTGGTGATACTTTTGCGTGAATATCCTTACCAACATACAGGGTAATCTTAACAACTAACAAAATAGATAAAATGTTGGCGAGCATGCTTGCTACCATGATACCCAGGAATAGTTCTTATGAAATTAAGATGTACAATTGTTTAACTAGGCTCCGCTTGATGTTCAGGATGCGACTCCAACGAGAGCTGGTCGCACCACTCTCTCATGCAGTTTATATCCAGGTTTGGAGACGACGACAACAGTTCCAGGCTCTTTCCCTGCAACCTCCTGAAATAATAAAAATAAAAGATCTTTGAGTCATCATTAATAAAGTGAACTGAAAAAATAGAGGTTTTAACTTTGAGGCCCCTCTACAGTCAGAACCACTGTTTATTGTCTCATTATTTTCTTGGGATACTACATTAATGGTGTAAGTCCGCAATCACATAACTTGGTTTGCAACGTTGCAGACTTTCTGTCATACTTTATGTATTAAACGGAAAATTACTAAACGGCAATTCTTTAAAACTACCGTGATTTTTTTCTCTGTGCGAAGAAAATTCTGCATAAACTCCAAGGAATGATGTCAATTTGTTCTTCAAAAAAATAACATAGAGGCAGAGATTTTCAGACAACGCAAACAAGTTATGTGATTGCCAACTTACACCGTACACATATTGGTTAGAAGCCAACCTAAATGTAGTGGTTTAGGCAGTCTGCTGCCAGCACTAAGGTCCCAAGAAAAAACTAGAAAAAAAAATAAACCAAAAATAGATACAAACCAGACAGAGAAAAGTGAATCATTAGTCAAACTTAAAAACTCATTGGTGAGTATGAAATTGAACTGTGGATTTTTGAGTTATTTTTACTTGCATTTTTTGATAAAACCAATAGCTTCCACATAAAAAACAAGATAAATTTACCTGTTGGAATAAGGCTTCATGAAGATTTGGATTGAATTTTTCATTGATCGGATTCACAAGTTCTAAACCATGCCTTTTGAAGACCTGTCAAGAAAAAACAAAAAATTATTGGTAAAAGGAGGAAATGAAGACAGAAAAAACTGTCAACTTCAGGGATTCAACCGAAGGTTCTTCTTAAAAACAGTTCCAGTGCCCGCTTTTTGATGAGTCCTCATCACCAAGACTAATACCTCAAAAGTTTCAGGAGGAAAATTAAAACAATATTGATATGTTTGGCAACACAGCATCATAAGTGACACTTGTGATAATTTGGCTGGAGAATGATGTTTTCTGCCACTATAAGGCACCTCAGAGGGAAAGAAAAAAAATTTAGTTTCGTATCTTTAAGAAAATAATTTTAAATCCCTTTGAGGGACTAATGAAGGACCCACAAATCCAATTATAGAAATTCACAGGTTCTCTCATTCAAATGCTGCTTTAGAATAAAATTGAAAATTCTCTAGGTAATTTTTCTTCTTTGCTATCAGAATAATCTGTTAAAATTTCAAGCTACAGAGTTGGATTGTTTCTCCTTGTAAAGATAAAATTGTAGCAGAATTTTTTTTTTTTTTTTTTTTTTTTAACACAGCAAGGGGCGCATACATGATGGTTTTGCACTTTTGCCATCGAAATTATGACTTGGAAAGTGCCTGGCTCCTTACAGTAGACATTTATCCTACAATTATGTTTTCTAAAAGGCACCTTCATTGCTGACGCCATGAAAATTAAATAAGAATTATGAAAAGGCATACCTTCTTCAGCTCAGCCTCTGTCATTGTTAGACCTTCGTATAGATTTTTTAAATGCGGATTTTTATCGGTTACTTCTTCTTTAGGAACGCATTCTGTTGCCTTACTGAGAATGTCTGCTACCTGAAATAAAATGATAGGACAATAAAATGACCAACAATTGGAGGAAAAACATGGACAGGGAGTGTCTTCAGCAGAGTAGAATAGCTACTGAATGTGAGTTACAAAGCTGAGTCTCCATTCCAAGAAATGCTCTTCATGCCTTTTTTTTTGTTTAAATGCTGCCTGTGCTTCACAGCATAGTAATGCTCTTTTGCGTTTAACTCAAACTAAAATTTTCAAAGTGACAAGGGCTGGGGAAAGAAGGGACAAATCAATGGCTAACGAACAATACTGCGTATCTAAATCTGACGATTTTGCAGAACGAAGAGAAAACTTTGTCATTTTTGTAATTTTAAGGTTAAATGTGCATATTTTCATACATTACGGCGTCATTGAAGCGCTCCTCTATAGAATTGGAAAAAAACTAAAATCATCAATTTGCGTACTTTATACAGTAAAATGCAGCAAAGTTGCTAGGTCTTTTTTGCCAAAATTTTTAGTAAGGCGGTATTGTTCGTTAGCCCTCGAAATGTCACATTGAAGAATGGCATCATTCAACATAAATTCATCGGTAACCAATGGGCCAACTGGCGACCGATGTATTCATCAACGATGTTTGATGAGACACTTCTCTTGTCTTTTCTTTTCTCAGCTTGAGGCTACTCAGTGATCACATTACCAGGCAATGAGGAGCTATCAAACTATCTCTAAGTAACTAAAAAAACTGTGTATATTACAAACGCAATCAGAAAGTAGGCAATTCAGTGCCAGCTGTCACTAGTGTTTGCTGTTTGTCAGCGTGTCAGCATGTTGGCCATGCCTGCATGGCAAGAACGAAAATGCAGGAACCTTTTGATAGAGAGCGCGTTCAAACTTCCTGCCTTTAAGAGAGTCAGGCAGTGCGATGTCCCTTTCTCCAGTATAATAAGTACGATTACTATTAATGCACAGAAATATGATTCGCTGATTTCTGAAAATAGCAGAGAGTCACACAAAAATGGTAATGAGAAGTAAAATCTTCATCAAAATTAGCTAACCTCTAATAAATCTTTGCAGAAACCTTGAATTCCAAACAACTTGGCATCTTCTATTTGTTTCGCCATTCTCCGTCTAAGATTTTCTGAGTCTGCCAGTGATCGCTTGTATTTATCCTAGAACACACAAAAGAAACTAAGTAATCAATAATAAGCAGAAGAAAAAAGACAAGAAGCTGACAAAGTGACGACTTCTGGTACAACATTTACATGATAAGTGCATGACACCAAAGGTATTTAGGGGAAAAGGGAAAAAAAAAGTTTGCAAGTTTTGCGTCTCAAAGGGTCACGACTGGTTCTATATAATCCAAATATATATTCATGAATCATGGGTCAAGATAAGATTTGAATCTGTAAAATATAAGTCAGTACCTATTGACATGTTTCCGAGTGCTTATAAATAGACTCCATTGAGTGGTTAGAAAGGCAGCTTACAGGTGAGGTAATTTTTTTAAAAAATCAAAATTTGTTTCCCATACAAGAGGTATGCAAGCATTTGCTTCTTATTTGAGGTTGCCTTGATTGAGATTGATGTAAAAGATTGTCCCCAAGGCTAATATGGGTTCATTTTGAAATTTCATTCATGCGCAAAGCAAACTCACCAATAGTTCAGCTTTTTCATTGCTCAGTTCTTCCACAGATTTGTTTAGATCTTCAATTTGACTTATTAGCTGCTTAGTGTCTGCGTCCATTGGAGGTGGTGAGTTTTCCGTTGGCTTCTGTGAGAGTGGCGTACAAAAACTTCTACTTTGACTACAGCTTGTCCACTTCCCTAGATTTAACCCATAATTTGACCTGATTGGAAAAGCAAACAGAAACCGAAGATAAATCATGGTGGTAGATTTCAATGAAGAGAACGTACCCTGGTTAGTAAATGGAAAAAATGGGAACCTGATGAATGATTAAGGTTGTGTCAAGTGCGTAAACTTATTTGGCATGGACTTTATTCAGGGTTGAAACCAAATTATCACAACGTAGATTTACGAAAGAGAACACTTACAAGGATGTTTAGTATTTAGGTAATATTTCAATGAGAAGGAACCATTCAGTAACCTTTCTCACGATCACAGCGTAGATAATTAATTGAAATAAGTACTTCAAAGTAGAGGTCTCGTCAAATAGGTTGACACTTGTTGACTATCAGCTTGCAAGCAACACACAGTGGATCGAGTCAATCAGAGAGGTCGGACATGAAATTTTTGACTAAAACTGCGAATTTTGATGTTTATTCTCTCACATTTTAAATTTCAAGGGGTGATTCTTGCAGAAAATTTCACGAGAAAATCAATGGAGCCACTTTTAGAACCTCAAAATTTTGTATGAACGGAGTTATAAGCTTTTAAAGTTTTCAAATTTTGTCCGGCTTCTCCTATTGACTCGATCCACTGTGCAACAGTTCAATTGCCCTTAGGGCTGATTAAGGGCAATGCTGCTGCTATGCATTGAACGGTCTATGGTGCATGATAGTGAAAAGTAGATGAGTGTCGGTGAATCTGACGAGATTTCTAGCAAAAACAGCCCTTACTACTGCAGATCCTGAGTTGCTACCAGTGACGAGTGAAAACTTACTCTTACCACAAACAGATATGATACAGTCACACTTAGGTACATTCCTCAGATCATACGAATTGCCAGCTTTGGTAGCTCTGAGCGGCAAAAAAACCGCAACATGGTTGGTCATGATGAGATTTTCCGTGTGTTGAGGCATGCAATCTTGATCCTTTAGAATCTACACAAGATTTTAAAGTTTTCTATTTACTCTGATCTGATATGAGCGCACAGAGTTACATTAATTTAAAGCGGTCTAAGTTAAGAGATGTTGATAAGGAAAAAAGAGCATGGTTGTGGGCTGGGAAGGATGATGTAATGCGAGGTAAGTCAAAGTTGAACATGTTATGTTCATGACAGCATGAAAAATCTAAGTGCACAGATGTCAGTGCAGGTAAATGGTTGTCATAAATAACTGGAAAAAAAGACTCTGCCTCAACAAACAGGGCTATTAAATGTAATTTGTTTGAGAGTATTATCATAAAAAGGTGATCGTCAAAGATAACCTCTACGCTTTGACAGCAAGAAAAGAATCATGGAACAATAATTAAAAGGGATATCTATAAGAACAAAGGGAGATCATACCTTAAATTTATGTTTTTGTTCACTGATAAGCAACTTTCAGTGATAATTTTTCCGAAACGAACACAAATTGGTACGGCTGCCATTTCAAAGAGTCCATGCACTTATCACACACGATCATAGGAAAACAACCATGAGGAGGGGAGGGGAGTGGTGAATTCCTTAGCTCATCGTTTGATGTTTGATGGAATAATTGGCAGTTACAAGAGAAGAAGAAGAAGAAGAGGAAGAAGAAGAATCAGCGAGTAGTAACCTAAAAAGCTGGAGAAAAACAAAATTCCTGAAAGCTATAAAATTTTAGGGAACCAAGATTGTTGAACTTTGAAGTGTAATCCGTACCGAGTTTATACAGTTTTGTCCATTCCGCATCGTCATTTCCATTATAATTCTTACTCCTTGTGATTCTTAGCTTCTAATTCAAATTTTTACGTGCGTCATCCATCACAATTTTGTGTTTGCTTTGTCAATAATGAAGTATCAAGGTGTTGTCTCCTACTTGTCAAGAATTCATGTCATCGGCGCTGGCTCTGTGTCAATTTGAAAGTTTTTGTAAGTACGCCTGTGTTTTTGGAATTTAAACTTACGCTCATGGAACCCTGCATATGTACAATTTTGTGTGGCAAAATGTTTGAAATGAAATGAGTGTTTAGATATGGAGCAGCGAAATCTCTTCGCATTATACAAGTAGTCGAGAAGTATTTAAGATGGGCTCTTTTGCGCTACATTTCTTTTTCTTTCTCAGTAGAATCTTTGTTACACTCCCATTTACAACCATTCTATACTGGACTGTAGATTCCGCAGACAGGAACTAATTTGGATCACAAAAATTAGGTGCTCACCGCAAGAAAAGTCTTTTAATCGACCTCATCATTCCTCCACTCATGACCTGCATTAATGACTGTTCACAAATTTTGCAAAATTGATCTAAATATCTCTAATTACGTGTGTTTACTGTGGTTGATCATTGGATCTTAGCACGGTTTACCTATAGGAGTATCATTGAAGTTAAGTATAGGTAGTTTTTCAACAGGACGAGTTTTTACATGTATTTAATGTTTCATCTCCCTTATTACAGTGTCCTAACTTGATTCAACATTCTTTTTTCACCCTAGTTTGTTAAGTTCTGCACTGTAAAGTTCCCAATTAGCCCAGAATATGCCTTTTCATCTCAGACACCTGTTGCTTTCCATTCTTGTTTATTTGAAGTCTAGCTTTGTTGCCATTCAAACTGTCACTGTAGTTGCTACATTAGAAATATTTTTTGTAATATTTTTAGAATCAGATGCTTTTGACATTTTGGTGGGTGGTACATTTTTTAAATTGTCAATAATTTTGTGGGGGGAAAAAAGAGACCCAAGCTATCATCTAGGGGTGCCAGAGCTAGATGGATAAATGCATTGAGATTCGTTTGAAACAGACAAACTGAACTGAAATCAGCTTAAGAGCATTTCACTTCGCCGAATTTTCTCCTGCATTCTATTATTTTAACGGAGCACTAAACCACTTAACGCCTGTCACTTGACGCCATGAATTTACCCTTGCTCATGATGAATATTGTCAACAAATTTCAAGTTTTAGTGTTCAGGATTGCCGGCGGTCAGGAAAACCAAATGTCAGGGTATTTGGCGAGGTGTGTCTAGCAGAGATGAGTGTAATTTGAAGGGGGGAAAATCCAAGTGGAAGTTTTTTTTTCGAATGTCAGGGAAGGTTAGAGAATTTGGAGACGAAGAATTTATAGCAACCCTGGTGTTGTTTAGTTCCCTGTTTGAAAAATGATACATCAGAGAAAATCAGTCAATGCCTGATATAGTTACCTAAGCTCATTCCAATCAAATTCATCCATAGATCAAATGGAATGTAAAATCTGAACACTAAGAAGATATTAGGTTTATTTGAATGAGTATCAAAAGAATGAAAAGGTACTACACTAATACCTTTTATGTACAATGGCAATTTTGAAAAATTAACTGGTCAAACGTTGGTGATCAATAATATTTGAAATTTGAGAATATGTAATTTTTTTTTGGCAATAATTTTTTTTGAAAATTTGTGTGACAACAAGCATTTTGCAAACTTTCTTGTCAAGATTACTATGACACGTATTACTGTTGAGGTGAGTGGGCACCTTTGAAGAAGAATCAAGAATTTCATTTGCAACCTTACGGGATGACTTATTCCGAAACAAGACAAAAAATTGTATGTGTGGGATGTTCAATAAAAATTGTCAGAAATTAAAAAAAGGTAAAAGAAAATGGATCAATCATAATGCAAAATTCAGTCAGTTTCGATTTTTTTAATTTCAATTTAATCACCCTAAAATAAAATACTTTTTTCCCAACTATTTTGCGTCTATTGAAATACATGTTGAAAACACCATTAGCCAGCTATTGAAGACTTGCTTGTGGTGATTTTACTATTGTATTTACAATGCCAAAATTTTCATCTTTAAAGTGATTTTTGGCCTGAGGGTGTAGAAATAAGTCATCAGGAGTCAGATTTGGACTACAAAATAAATATTCAGTACCATTTCAAAAGTTTTATCGACCAGAAACTCCAAGACAGCAGCTGCGATATAAGACTGTTACTGAGGACATAGGAGTCAACAATCGCAGAACCCAAATGCAAACACTAGTAAGGTTCAGATGATCATGCAGTAGTCTACAAGCTCCACTAACCAATGTGCCAATGTTGAGAATCTTTCAAAAAGCTGCAACAGTACTGTCAGGACCACACGGAAAAAATTCAATTGCTAAAAAAAAGTGACTGCAACGTCTCAACGTAGATTTTACAACAAAAAATGCTACTTTGAACACTATTGTGGGCTAATTTAACCAGGGGTGTGGTTAAAGTAGCATTTTTTTGCGGTAAAATCTACATTGAAACATTGCAGTCACTTCTTTTAGCAATTGAATTGTTAAATCAGCAATTTAATTTTTTCTGTGCACCTTAAACAGGGTGTCTATCTTCAGTAGAAACTGAAAAATCCGGAGAAAGCAGGAAATTTTTGTCATTGGGAAAAATCAGAAAAATTGCTCATGGGGCAGGAAATTCCAAGCGCATCGAGCTTTTTTCAACCCCTTGCAGTTTAGCACATGCAGAAGTGAAACATTTGGTCCAATTAATTAAATATGCTGGTGTTTTAAAATCAAACCGGTGTTAGTTTACTCTTGAAAAAAATTGGGAAAATGAAATCAAACATATGAGAAAAAATCAAGAAAAGATAAGGTAAATTCCAAATGAAATTCTAGTGAACACCCTGTTAAAAGTGAGGACCTCTTTGAAATGTTTAAACCATCTTTCCCAGGACCTTTTAGGCATTGCACCACTTCCACAAGTAGTTTTTTACTTTGGATAAATCTCAATATTAATTTTAATCAAGTTTTAGTTCAAGTTTTTTTTAGTCACTTTATAGTGTAATGCTGCGCTTGAAATTTGACAGTTTCTAGGGCTGACCCTTTAAAATAAAATAATTTTTTTGTTTCAGGTTTCTAAGACTGACCCTTTGAAATAAAATAATTTTTTTGTTTCAGATTTCTAGGACTGACCCTTTAAAATTAAATAATTTTTTTGTTTCAGGTTTATGAACAGTACAATGTATTCAATCTTTGAGTTACCAGTTCTCTCGTCCAAATGACACTTGTAGGTATGCTGAGAAAGAACAAGTGAGGAGTTATTCAATCTTTGAAGTGAGTATTGACTCACCGAGGAGCAATTCAGTTTTTTATCTCTTTCAAGCCCATCTTCAACAAACAGTCGTATGATAAGAGCTTGATTGATCTCCCAATTTTTAGTACTTTTTAAGCACCCACTCAACTCCCACTTCTCCTCTGCTTGTCTACTACAAGTTTTTGGCCATTGAAATTCCTCTCTCTCTCATGGTCTAATTATTCTTGTCCAAGAATCGAAGGTTTTAATGTCAATTGTCTCTGATTTATTTTGGTTTCATGCACAGCCATGAGTAAATCAATAAATTGTTCATTTGAACATTAAAGCTTTAAGACATTGTGGCACAAGTCAGTACCGGAAAAAGACCAAAAAATGAAAAAGTACGAAATTATGACAAGATAACCGTCGATAACAAGCTAACAAGCAAAAAGGAAGAAGAAGTGTACAGTAGGAGGCTGGCAAACAACTATTCAGTCCTGTGGACTATTTAAACTGTCCAACAGCTCATTAACGGAGTAAAAGGCTGTAGAAAGAAGAAAGTTATGATAGCTGTTCAGGAAAATAATTACTTTTCCTTCTTGAAAAATAGTTTTAATCTCTCTTGGAAAACCATTCAGAAAGACAAGAACTTGATATGGTGCGTTGGAATGGAAAGACGAACTTTAGCCTTTTAAGGGCTCTGTGCCTAGTGTTGTATGCATGAGCTGGAAGAAGATCTTGAGGCACAATAAAGTTGCATGTAGAATTTTACTCTGGTCTCAGATTCAACCTTTTATTTGTTTATTTTTTTTAATTTAAGAGAAGGATTTAAAAAGGACACTGAAAGGATAAAGCGGTCCAGAAACATCAATTAGTACTTTGAAATTTTGAATACTGAACACAGATAAACCTTAAGGCCCAGTATAATAGTCTAAAGCGAATGTTGTGTCCTTTAGTGTAATATTAATTTTAGCTAGACACATTTAACGTGTTCTATGTATGAGTTAACTCCTGATACCTGTCCTAATTTGAAGGATTAATCTTTGTTTTTCTTATTTCAGGATTTTAAACATCACTATGTCTCGTCCAGATAAGATGAAATCTGGAGGCTTCGTAAGTTACCATATTTACTTTGCTCTTTACAATTTGTCCCATGAAAATTGTCGTTATCATGAATCTCTCTTCTCAATTTTTCAGATGAAACTAGTTCTTCAAACAACTCATAGAAGTATAATATTGTATGTTGTGAGAATTTGTTGTTCTAAGCATCCATCATAAAATTACTTGATGAGTTTTTGAAGTTAAAGTGCCAAAAAAATTATATTTATTTGCAAGAGTTTCAATTGATTTTAGTAATATTCAAATCTTGCCTTTCACGATTTTGAGGTTTCATTGACACTGTTTTTGTGGTTAAGATAATTTTAGACTTTCCTTTCCAATGTAGCAGATTATTTTTGCCAAAATTCCTGCAGCTTTTGCTGAATTGTAATTGAAAATTTCTCTTAAAAATTTTTAGAAGCTCATTCCTTTTCTTTCTAATTTTGCATAGTTGGACCAGCTGTTTGGCAGGCCCAAGAAAGGGTCGGGGAGAATTCCTGGAGCTCCTATACCAAGACCCAACTCTGATTCTGATTTCAATGAACTGGAGGAACAGGAATTTTTCATCGAACATTTAGATGACATCGCTCTCAATGATAAATTTGAAGACATGCTCGTAAGTGTCGAATTTTCATTTTTTTTCACAAGTTATGGCTAAACTTAACCTAGACAGGCAGCTGTGGAAAAGACAAAAATTCGCTGCCGAACTAGCTTTTTAGTCTGGCGACCGAAAATATCAGCTAATTTTTGGTTGGGGACGCTCCGCAGTAGCCGAAGTTGTGTTTGGAGGTCAGAGAAAAGTCAGAAAATTTGAAAATTCTGGAGACAAAATAAAGCAGAAAAAGTTAGGTAATGTCTGAGAATTGTAAGTAAAAAAGTAAAATTACAGAATCTATGAACAGCTTTTAAAGCTCATATATCTCAGCGAAACCTGTCGCCAGCTCCTATTTAAAGGTTATATTAATAAGCATAACATGCCATTTCTAGCACCTGGGGGAGTTGGTCATTCTTTTCCTATATAGAACACATTTGACTTGAAAGTATTTAATTTTTCAGTCATAAATTTCTCAATATATGCACGTGCAGTGGACAAGATATGAATTTAAACATTCTGATAAGAGTTTCTGCCCAAAAATTTCATGTACAGCATAGTTTGCGACATGAAAATTACTAAATTAACTACCAACTACCATATTAACGTTTCTATTTGGCACTAGTCCCAGGAAATTAAAATTTCTTGCTCACAAGATAAACTAGAGTTCACTCGAATCAAAGCACAAACTATAACGGCTTTGGTAAGCTCCTCAATGGCCTGTGTTCTTTCCCCAATCTATGTCATTCAAAGTGTAAATAACCTGCAGTAGCTGAGTCGAAGTGTCAATATTGAAGTTGTCGTAATTTTTCACTGCTAATACTGCCGCTGTAATGTACTCAAGTAGATTATTGTTTTTTTATGAGCAGGATGTTTGAATTTATCGGTTAGGAGTTACTTTCAATAATTACCGTTGTACGAAGCCTGTTTCAAGTGAAATTTTGACGAGAAAACATATCAGAATGCATTTTTTAAGCTCACTATGCTTAAAAGTTTGCCAAAATATTTCTTGAACATACATCTATCAGTTACTGACTTTCCACTCTATCCTTGACCCTCTAGTTTCCATCGTAAGTTTAATCCACATCATTGGTTTTTTTCCCTCTCTAGAATGATATGAACCTATCAGAAGAAAAAAAGGAGCCTTTGAGGTGTCAACCAATGATGAACAAGAAAAAAATGCTCATAATGCATTACAAAGGAACCATTCATGTAAGTTAGTTTACTATCTATATATCACATGCTATTATGTGATAGTATATGATATAGTAGACACTATCTAGTATATACTATTAGCCTAATGCCATACAGGGGCAGTAAAAGTTCCAAAAGCCCAACAGTCCTTTGTGATCCAGCATTTTTGCCTATCGACCCAATTTCCAATTTACAAACTGATTGCTGATCGACGCTCAAGTCGTTTAGACAGAAAGTTGGTAATGTAGCCAAGGGTGCACTTTTTTAACTGGGTGAGTCCCAAAATATGTGCTAAACTTTCCTCTATGCCATGCCTTGGCGTTAATAAATAAATTATGAGTTTTCATGGGCAAAGGTCCTTGTTGCCGGTCACATATGTAGAGCATTGTGAATAGTGAGTGGTTGAGTACAAAGTAAGTATAAATAATTTCAAACAGTGCGAATATGTATGGAAAATGCAGAAAGTTAAAATTGAGACTAATCGTCAATAATGGGCTAAGTATCAGAAAGACCATTTCAAGTCATTCACGCTTTAATTTTTGACAACTGTTACAGAACGTTCCGTTAACGCCACCTTTAGAATGTTATATGCATTACTCTAGTATTGGTTACACTTGGTCTGTCACATAGCATGTTTCCCTTGGTGCTTTGATCAAAATGTTACATCCAAATCAATTTTTGATGTTTTGGCACTTGGCCTGTCGTTGATGATAAGTCTTAAATTGTTGAAAATTTCACCATTTATTTTAATATCTTTGGTTTTGCTGTGTAAAATCCATGAAACAGCCTTTTTGCTCTCAACCCTCTGCAAAAAACATCTTCTTTTCTTATATGGCATATTAATGGACAAAAATAGTTATATTTTTTTTTATAAACCGAATCTTTATTTTTAAACCGAAAAAGAAAAGACTTTCTCAAAAATGTTACCTAACTTAAAAATGTAGTATGAATGTGTTTTATCTTTTCCATCCACAGCAAGATAACAGGAATAAGTTTGACAAACCTGCTGAGTACATCCAGTACCTGAGTCAACCGGACCTGAGTGTCAATAAAATTTACGGTTGCATCGAGTCTTTGCGGATCGCCCTCACAAATAATCCATTGAGCTGGGTCAACGAATTCGGGACCTCAGGACTGAAAACTGTCCTTTCGATTTTAAACGAGTGTTACCGCAAGTAAGTTTATAAATCATTGATTTTTGTTTTCGATGAAACCCTACCAATTTTTGGTCTTGCTAAGGCAGTGTGATTCTGCTGAAAAGTACAAAAAAACAACCTATGGGCTAGGAGAAAATCTCAAAATAGTAAGATTCTAACACTTTCTCAACTGTATCATAGCCAAAATATTGGAACAACTCGCTATAAAACAAAAGTACCTGTCTGGCAGTGGACTAAAAGCAAACAGCATGTGTGTTTCTCACTATGTTGTTGCACATTTATGGCATCCTGTTTATTCCAACATTAATGCTTGTAAAAAATGGATTTTCATTCTAAAACAAGAGAATTTATGAATTAAAGTAATGCCCACATATTTTTCAATTTTACACTTCAGAAAAGGAACCCTGCTACTTTCCGTAAAGTCAAAAAATGGAACCAGAATTTTACCCACTAAATCGATTATTTGGTTATTTGCGATAGATTGTTATTAGTAACAAGTGATACAGATGCCATGTGGCACAAGACAAAGCGCGAATCAAAGCACACCATCGCATGTCATCTCCTCGAAATTTTCCGTGGAAAATGATTCACACAATGGGAAGCTTGGAAACCAGCCTCTGAAGAAGATATCAGCATTATCAATGGAACAGTGGCAGGAAATTTTTGCAGGGTTGTAGTATACCATGTCTTGCGCTCAAAGAATAATTTCTGAGGGGGAACAGCTGATCAAAAGCTGACGGTCAAATTGGTGTAGCAAGGCGATGCCTGAATGTGGATACAGCCAATCTACAAACGCTGTTTCCCCTGCTTGGCTATGTCATCAGTCACTGCCAAAAATATCGTTCCAAACGGGTCCCTTTTTTGTCAAAATGTGATTTCTTTGTCATGCAGAGCTTTAAAAACTCCAAAAAAAATTCCGAGGAGCTTAATTTATTCTGCACTTTTAGAAAATGAATTAAAAAAGTGGGTGCTACTTACTCTGAAATTTTTTATACAGAAAAATTTCGAATGACTCTTGTATATGAGTTTTGTTCCATTTGATCAGTGATAATGGCTAAATTTACCCATTAAAGTCTCGCTTAGGAGTTGAGCTCCGGAATTTCACATTGTGTGAATACCCCAAAACGTGGTTTTTGAAACGAATTCTAAGTCGAAAATTACACGTGTTCCTTTTAATTTCTGAATTCTTTGAAGCAGTGTTCGAAACTCATCTTTGAGTTTCAGTAGCCATGTGGCACATCAAGCTCATTTTTTTGGGGCCATTGAAGATTTTTTAGGGGCCAAATTGACTTTTTGCCTAAATATCACGGCGCATTCAGTGAAAAGTTAGACGCAAGATGTTTTAGTTACAGAGCAAGTAGCTGTAACTCGGGAGAAATTTCGAAAAATCACGAAACAGAAAAATTAGGATTTTTTCTGGGGGGAGGGGGGGAGCAATTTTTAGGGGCCACGTTGGCGCAGAGCATTAATTTTTTAGGCGCCATGACCGATTTCTTAGGCGCATTTGGCACATTCGCGCCCGTGAGTTTCGAACACTGCTTTGAATGGACCTCTTTTGCATCAATGTTATGTTTTAAAGAGAGCAACATACATACAAGAAAACTCCAAACAAATCACAAAATTATCAGATCAGCACAATTTTAACACAAGAAATAAAAATAAGTTCATAACACCAAGAGAAAACGAGTATGTAAAGCAATGTTTACTGTGTTACAATGCACTTCCTTTGAAGGATTTAAAAATTGATGATAACACGGAATTGCAAAAATTCTCAAAATTGATCACTGAATTCCTAGTGGAGAAAGAATTCTACGCAGTTAGAGAACTGGTGTAGACGTTTATTCAATCTAATTCACTTGAAGAATTGTCTAATTTAACTATTATGCATTTTTCTAATTTTGAATGTTAGTATTAAGTTTAATCTAAGTTGACCCGTTTGTTTGCCTTTTTGAGCATTTTTTAACGAATAAAGTGATTTCTATTCTATTCTATTCTATTCTATTCTTTCTATTCTATTCTATTCTATTCCCTGTCAACCGCCTTGTTTTCTAAACCACCTCTCCTAATATATATTGTTTTCTTTGATTTCAGCGATAGTAGATATGATCGCATTGAGTATGAGTGTGTGCGATGTTTAAGAGCGATAATGAACAACACTGTTGGCTTGAAGCAAATGTTCAGTCAAAAGCAAGCTCTCACTATTGTGGCAAGGTCTCTTGAGCCCACAAAACCTCCTGTTATGCTTGAAACGGTGAAAGTACTCGCGGCTGTTTGTTTGATCCCTCCAGACGGGCATGAAAAAGCGCTGGAAGCTATCACCATGAGTGGTGAGATGAAAGGTCGCACCAGATTCCAGCCTGTCGTACAGGGCCTTCTTGTTACGGAGAATGAACCTTTGCGGGTAAGTAATCATTCATTTTTACATATATCCTTACCGTTGGTGGATGAGCATGGACCATCCGCTGCTACCAGATGACTGAAATATATTTTAATGCTTTCTTTTATATTCATTAACTTTTTTTTTCAGTGGTAATATTACGTACTTAATACCTTTCAAAATATTGATAGTCTGTTTCAAAAAAGAAAAAAGGAATTTTTGCATAATTGAAGAAGTTTTTCTTACGAAACAGAAAGGTGAATATTTGGAAGTAGTATCTCTCCCGGAATGATCAATCCATCTGCGCAAATTATGAGTAATTTTCACTTGAAAATAATCAGTTTACTTTTAATTTGTCAAGTCAGTGACAGTTTCAGGCTTTTGTATATGTTGTTAAAATTATTTGGTTTATTTTAACACAATGGATACCAACTGCATGATAAAAATGACGTCAACTTTTTTTCAAAGTAATTATATCCAAAACGAGATACCCATGTCCATACTTTATTAGAACTCTCTGTGGTTAAATTTATCAAATTTGCCAGAATATATGGATATTTTTTTTAAAAAGAGACAAATCACTCAAACTTTCAACTTCGTCTTACTTACTCTAGGTAGAAATTGTCTTAAAAATTCTCTTAATTGCTAATACTACGTAGAATAACCCATATTGCCCTAATGTAATATGTACCATGTACAATTTTGGAAATAAATCCTATTGATTTCAAAATGTTAATAAAAACGGTATTTCTTTTGGCTTGGGCACTCTTGCAAGCATTTATGTAGGAATTTAATAAACTCCTCAATACTGAAATTTCTTTAACCCTCAGGAAGGAACTGTCTTTTCTGATAGTCTCCTTGATAGATTCGTTTTTTTAAACAATCGTAGTTACAAGTTTTAATTCAGTTGACCTGATTTTATTTCTTCTGTTTCTAGGCTGCTTGTTTGCAACTAATCAATGCCATCATAGAAACCCCAGACGATCTAGAATTTAGGCTACATTTAAGAAATGAAATTATGCGAGCTGGACTCTGTGATATTTTAGAGGTAAGTTATAGATTTTTAGTAGAATTGTCTAGTGGGTGTATTAAATGTAATAAATATCAAGGTTGCAACACAAGTAAATTTTAGAACTAGCTCCGGTCTTGGCAATGTGATAGTACGAGCTCTGCTAGCAAAACCTATTTTATAGTGTATTGATCAGCTGAAAAAGTATAATGAAGAGAACAAATTCCATTTAAAGTGCAGAAACTGCTTCTTTCCATCCATTTTAATTGTATGATTTGTTTCTTTCTCATAGTTCATTCCCTAAATTCTTCCTAACAAATCTTGAAAATTGACAAAATCCAATAGTACACTAGACAAGGCGCGAATTCAAAGATTATCTTGTAGAACGAAAATTATGGAAATTAACTTCCAGCCAAAATCCTAATGTTTTTCGAATCACAAATTCAAATTTCCTGCTCATGAGAAACTGCTCATGGCAACCTCAATATTGGCGCTTTGGCTCAGCTGTTGCCCGTCATTTACACTTTGAACAACACAGGGTAGGGAAGGAAAACTGCTTGATTGAAAAGCCGCCCAAAACTGTTATAGTGCACAGTTTGATTCACTTTGATGCTGGCTTTCTTTTTAAGCTGACATTCAAATTTTTTGCAACCAAGTTTAGCAGTATTTGTTGCCTGAATTAAGTTGTATATAACATTTAGAAAAGGAGGCATTTTTCAAAATGCTTGAATTTGTACCTTGTCTAGCGGTCCTTTCTCAAAGTTTTCACAAAGGTGATACGATGGCCGCCATATTTTGTCAGAACATCATGTGATTTATTGCGTTGATTATTTCCATTTTTTCAGCTACTTGTCATATATATCAAATTTTGAGATCGCATTTCTGTTGTCACGAGACTAAAGAATTCACTTACCAAATTTGAGAAACAAATTCAATGTAATAAAGGCAGGGTTTTTTTTTCAGAGAAGGAATATCGCATCCAATACTGATATGGAAACTGCATTTGAATGCGATATTTTTCCTCTCAAAAAACTGTGCCTTTATTACATTGAATTTGTTAAAATTGGTAAGTGAATTCTTTAATCTCGTGACAACAGAAACGTGATTCCAAAATTTGATAAATATGACAGGTAGCTGAAAACATGCAAATAATCAATGCAATATATCTCATGTCGTTCTGACACAAAACATGGCAACTATCGGATCACCTGAAATTTGTATCACTGCATGTACTGGCACAAGATCAGCAAAGAACACCCATGCGTCTCCATGATTCTAGTCTTTTTTCTATTTTTGATGTTGGTTACTTGGCGTAGTGTTGCCATTATTTCATTAAGGCGTAATAATCATAAAATAGATTGATTTTTTTTATTGAAAAACTATATTCAAAATTTTCTGGTAGATTTTCTCTATTCTTAATCTAATTGAGATCTGCTCTCTCTTATAGACTTTAGAAAAAGATGCCAGTGAAGATTTAATGGTCCAGCTAAAAGTCTTCATTGACCATAAGGAAGAAGATTACTACGAATTTATACAAAGGTTTGACAATGTAAGGCTTGACATCGACGACATCAACGAGTGTTTCGAAGGAGTCAAGAACATTGTGATGGACACGACTGCAGAGCCATATCTTCTCTCAATTTTGCAGCATTTTTTATTTATCAGGGATGATTGTTATATCAGGTGAGATTCAGTTTTTATACTTACGGCTCAAAACTATCAATGCGACAGTTTTTAGTAAACACTCTCAAAATCTGTCCTTTTTAGAACATTGAAGTCTGTTGAACTTGTCATCAGACATTAAAGGAAGATATACGCGGTCTAAATTCAACTTAGATTTTTGAGGATTCAAGAATCCTAGGCCAATATTGAAAACGGACACCTGTTTAGCCAAAATGTTTCAGTTTTCACCATATTAATGGTTTTTATGGTAATTTCCAAGTGTAAATGATGTGAAATGTAGTAATTTTCTCTGTTACCTTATTAAACTAAGATGTATGCGGTCAAAATCAAACTTAGATTTTTGGAGGATTCAAAAATCCTGGGCTGAAACTGTAAACAGACACCTTTCTTGCTAAAAAATGAATTTCTAATCCTCACTTCCAAAGAAAGGATCATTAAAATTGTATTAAAGTTAAATTTTATTGATTATCAGCACACTGGATTCATGCATCATTGATGCAAAAATCGTAAATATTCACTTGTTAATTGAAGAGATAGAGAAATATCTCGGGTATGCTCAGTGTAACTATTTTCTTAAGGTTATTTTGACTGTAAAATTTGGGCTCAACAAATCTTTGTATTTTCCTTTCCAGGCCGGCGTACTATAAGTTAATAGAAGAATGTGTTTCTCAAATTGTCTTACATCGAAGTGGCGTTGATCCAGATTTCAAATCAAATAGAAGATTCCAGATAGATGTTCAACCCTTGATAGATACTTTAGTTGGTATGTGAATTTTCAGTAGAGTTGTCCTCAAAAATCTTTTTTAAACTAACACAAAATATTCAATGTAAGATTAAGTTGATTTTTCATGGTTCGATAGCTGTGGCGGAGGATTTTTCAAACTTGGTTTACTGATTCCAAAATCCGTTATCAGTAGATTACGTTTTTCTCCCTTTAGAAGTTCAAGAAAACTGGAGAGTCGTTTAACAGGGTTGCCACAGTCAAGGAAAAACCGAGGAATGTCAGGGAATTTTTAAAAGTCAGGGAAAACCTGGAAATATCAGAGAAAAATCGTCAAGCCTCATTTATTTGCTCTCTCGAATGGGTTTGACGTTTCAAACAAAAAATTTTGCCAAATTTGTCAATTTTTTGTCTTTTTAACGATGTAGTATATCTTCAATTGTCAGGAAATTTTATCAAAATTCGGCGGGGAAAACATGGAAATGTCAATCTTATTTTCTAAATTCTGTGGCAACTCTGGTTTAATTGCCCTCTTTAATTCCCAATAACACACAATATGAAAGAAGCATACATCACTTTAAAATGCTGTTGAAATAAAAATATATCAAGTGTGTATCTTGCTTGTTATGCCTCACTATTTCTGTTCATGTTTTATTTCCCAAGAGAATATTATTAGCTGTCACATTATGAATATAAAAATTATTCTCATATTCTTGATGCTAGGAAAATCAGTCAATACCCCACTTTACTGATGATCAGTTGTCTTTCAGAAAAGTTAAATGTTACATTAATGTCACAAACCAACATACTTTTTTCTCTCCTTTTTAGTTTAAATTTGAAAAATGGATGAGCGGTGGATAATTTAGTTTTAGTATTTACAATAAAGGAGAATTCATAATTAGTAGCTATTGTTAAAAAGATAATCCTCCGCAAATAGTTAATCTCTCTAACGATTGCAATCTAATGTTGATTGAATTCAAACTTTGTAAAACCTCTCAATCGAAAATTCTTAATATTTGAATCACACTTAAGTTTTGAAGTTCAGTGTTTTTCCTTGAATTAATTGAATCCAGAACTTGTTGAAAATCTAGGTAATCATTTCCTTCTTCTGTTAACACTTTACATTTTCACCTTCCTTTATATTTCAGAAAAATCGAAGATAGAAGAAGAAAGAAAATTAGATGAGTTAAATAGGAAATTAGAAGAAGCAATTGCCATGCGGCAAGAAGCTGAAGCCAAATTAGTTCAAGCCGAAAAAACGATCAGTGATATGCAAGCAGGTGGCGCAAAAGTGAGTAATTATTTTAACCTGTTCCTTTAGTATCAAAACTATACAAATTGGCAAGTTTCCCAAAAAATGATGTACCGATAGATGTAGATATTTTGATATTTCAAATTTGCTGCTGCTTCAATTCAAAATTGCATTTGAGAATTGGCTGGTTTCTATGATACCAATATTCAAGATTTTCTTCTAATGGAATAACTGTTTACATACCGCCCCTGTAAAAAGTTGTCTAATTTTATATTGGACCATCCCTTCATTCAGTATTGCCTAAAGACTCATTTTTTTTTGTATTCTTAAAAAAAAATCACTACAGTTTGGTTGAAATTGATTTTTTTTTTATATTCCTGGAACTGATACCAGATACCAGTTTTGGGCGGAACTGAATGCTGGATGTTTTGCTGTATCTGTTCGGAACTAAATCATATTTTTTTAAAAAATCTCTTTGATTCTGAGTACTTTAAGGATTTACTCTTCTCTCTAAAAGTACGATTCATGTTATGCAAAGTGGACCACTTAGTTCACGGACCTCCCGAGAAATCTCTTGGGCCCAGTGAGAAATTGCATGTATTAAGTCAATAGAAGTAAAATACCTATCAAAATTTCATAAGACGGAAAGACAAACCTTTATAAATGTATCACAAAACTCATGTGTCCAATAGTGTCTCTGGGAAGGCGTGAATCACTGAGTATCTATTTATTTCCATCTGAAGGTATGGTAAAGAATCGATCATTGAAATTAAATTGATTATTTTCCAAATGACGTAAGGGCCAAAATTACGAAAGCAAGAAAAACTGTTTTATTCGCTTTGTGGAGAATCTTCGAATTCCAAAAAATACATGTTCTTTTAGAAGGCCATTTTGAAATCAGACATGATTGATCATACCAGAGAAAGCAAAGAAAAAACAACCCCTCCACCATCAAAGTAGAGATCGGCGCTTAAGTGACTTGGAAAATAATCAATTCAATTTTCATTGCAAACACCCTGATGATGGATCCTTTTCCATAGGTTTAAGTGACGGATCCATCAATTTATCATAAAGCACGCAATGCCATGAGGGTGTCTACCAGTCCCCAATGGCCCCGATTATGCCGAATTTTGGACGGGTGTCCTCGATATCCCTGTAAGTCCCCAATTTTCTTGCTCAGGTCCCCAAAAAATGACGAAAATCGTCTTAAACACTGGCATTTTCAAATTTTCCCGCCAGCCGCGGCAGCGCGGTATAACCAGGAATAAAAAACTGAAGTGTCGCCCGGTTTTTCGTCAGTCTTCATCGGTTCAACATGACTTGTAAAATTAGTCGTATAAAATACACCTTCCAACGCTCTAACTAGCCCGCTTTCTCCTACTATTTCAGGAAAAAAGTCACCGATTTTCTTGAAAAAACACCCCCTAAACGTCCCTGAAAGTCCCCAATTTTGGTTTTTAATAAGTGGTAGACACCCTGGCCACTGAATAGTGTCTATATGTATGTATAGAACTTCTTGGCTTTGTTTTTCCCGCGAAATGGTGTGGACCCAGCACCATTTCTCCACCTTGTTACGTACAGTTCGGGCTACTTCCTAGTGTTTTTTTTTCATTTATAGTTTTATATATTTAATAGATAGTTTCTCTTTCTTATTTATTCTTTATCGAAACACTTAACATTTTGCAGGTTCCCAAAGGACCAAGTTTACCACCTCCACCTCCAGGTATAGCGAATGCAGGGATGCCGCCTCCTCCTCCTCCACCGCCCATCCCTGGCATGGGCGGAGGTCCTCCCCCTCCACCTCCGCCCCCAGGGCCAGGTATGGGTCCACCACCACCCCCCATGCCAGGCATGGGTCCGGGCCCCCCTCCTCCCCCACCACCCCCAGGCATGGGTCCACCACCTCCTCCAGCTTTCGGTGGGCTACCAAGTATGGCACCGAAACTCCCGGATGCCTTGCCGTATGGGCTCAAACCGAAGAAGAAGTGGGAGGTGGAAGGAATAAAACGAGCTAATTGGAAAACGGTAAGTTTTGTTTCTCTGAGTATGTAGTGCAAACAAGTTTTCTTTAAGTGGAGTTGTATACCACAAAACAAAGGATCCTCAGAATACGTGATGTATGGTAACTTTCCTAATACTACACTGGAAAAAAAGGATTGCTAATTCACCGATTTAGGGTGAAGCAAAATTTGCTTCACTTCGTAAAGCTTTCTTATCCGTGGACGGTGTTGAATCAAGTGAACGACTAGCACGAATTGCTACACCGATTTGCTACATCTGCGCGCCTTCATGCAGTTAATCTTGCATCGAGTGGCTTGGAAGTGTAACTGCATTTTTTGGTATTGGTACTTTGGGAATAGTAAAAATAGCTCAATAGTTAGGCTGAAATAGCGGAATTTACGGGAAAATAGCTAAATTTACGGAAGAATAACTAAAAAGGTAACAGACGTAGCTTTTCAGGTAGCAAAATCACCTACACGCGTGTGCGTAAGTTAGCTGAAATTGGTGTAGCGATTTTACCTACATGGTTTGCACGTTCGTTTTTTAGCTCACCATGCAGTTGAAATACCCGTGTGCATGGCAATTTCAGCAATATTTTTTTTTCAGTGTACTTCAAAAATTTGAAATTGCATCCCTGATTAAATCAGTCATTCTGGAAGACTAAACGATCAGAAATGAAAACTTTTCTATTCAACCTGTCCTACATGTTGAAGGTCAGAAAAATCAATGTGTGAGAAAATTGCAATTTTCAATCAAATTGCGGTTGTTTCAAAAAATTTTATACAATTTGAACGAAAAAGGAGAAAGATGCGATTTGAGGCTCAAGCCTTTCTGAAAATGAGTGGAATTATCTCAACATGTATACTCCATTTAAAGTCAATTTTTAAGTATTTCAAGCCGTAATGTGCACAAAAACTTTCATTCACTCTTTCTTTACAGCTGAAACAATGATAACTTACTCACTGCGATGATTACATCACTGATGATTGCTTACAAGTGCAAATACTTACTTAAATCTCTAAGACAGAGAAACAGTTGGCCTGAAAGAACAAATATTCACCCCCTCATTCTTGAAAATTCTAGATACTAGAGAATTTGCATGCATTTTTTTTTTTTTTTTTTTTTTTTTTTTTTTTTTTTTTTTTTTTTTTTCTTCATCTGAAAGTGCTTAAAGAGCTGATTTCACAGTATTTTTTATAATTTTTTTCTGATATGGAAAATAGTATAAAAATAGATTTAAAAGTGAGAAAATACACCGCCTACTGACGTCTTCTGGCGGCACTTCCCATTTGTGTGTTTAAAGTACATCTATCTGTCTATTTAAGCAGATTAGATCATTTTGTCATATCTTCTCCAATAATTGGTCAATTCGTGAACCAAGGGTATCCTCGTTTTCAGTTCACTCAGTAGTTTCCACTTAAACACAAAATTCATCCAATTTCAGACACCTGCAAATTCTCCATCATGTGAGAGATTCAAATCGCATCAAATTAAGATAGGGGAGTACTGAACAGCACCTTGATGTTTGAATCTTTTTGAAAATGCACTTTTCAGAAGTCTTTTAGGCCACAAAAATCCTTTTTTCTGTCTGTCACATTTCCACAAAATACATCTATGCCTAAGCAATACGGAACCAACAAAAACTCAATTTTCGATTTTTTGGCGTTTAGGTCTTTTTAAAATTTGTTTGACTCTACCATCATCAACAATTTCAGTAAACTGCAGATCAAGACCAAAGTACCAAGACTGCAGTAAGAATAATAAATACTAACCCCAGGTCGTTAGTCAGTAACAGTCTGAGGCAAATGTCATCTGACGTACTCTAGGCTTTGCGGCGATTGTGTCAAATTGGAATTTGATCAGCAAGTCTGCAATGTTTTCAATATTTCTTCATAAATACAGTGACTACCAAATTGACCGGTAATTTTTTTGCATTTACAGATCATACCTCAGAAACTATCGGAAAAGTCATTTTGGGTCAAAGTGCAGGAAGAAAAATTAGCATCACCTGAAATTCTGAATGGACTCGCTCAAAAATTCTCTTCCAAACCAAACATAAAGAAACAAAATGAAGTAGTTGACAAGTAAGTATACCTCTAATTGTTTTCTTCCCAATTAAGGAAATTCAATTGCAACCAAGAATGTTCAGCAGATATCTCTTTATCAGGGGCTGTCCATAAAATACATAACGCTCCAGGGAGGGATAGGTCAAGGAGAGCTATTTTGTTTCTGTTTTAAGGGATGTTGTGTTTTAAGTCATGTTGAGGAGAGAGATTGATCCAAGAATTCAATATTTAGTGCTACATATATTATGAACGCCCCCTGTGATAGCATCTGTGCAGCTACACAGATGCTTGGACACACAATCGCATCAAAATTGAATCAAGAAAAGGTAGTTTGAAATTTTATTCCTCTGTAAGACTTATAATGTAAAGAACAAAGTTTATTGACTATTTTCATGTTCAGAATATTTTTTTCGATTATGAGTTTTATCAGGAGAAATTTACAGCTAGTCTGTCCAAATCGACAGCGTAAGTCCACAATCACGTATATAGTTTGCGGTGTCTGAAAATCTCTGCCTCTATGTGATTTTTTTAAAGGAGAACAAATTGATATCATTCCTTTGCACAGAGAAGAAAATCTCGGCAGTTTTAAAGAATTGCCGTTGAGTGGTTTTCCATTTAAAAAATGAAGTATGACAGGAAGTCTGCGACGTCGCAAACCGAGTTATGCGATTGCCGACTCACACTGTCGAAATGCACCCTAGCCTTCACATATCAAGTATTGAAGGTGAAACTCCCAAAATACATATCTCGTTTTGCAATGTTGCAGACTTCCTGTCATATTTTATTTTTTAAATGGAAACCTTCTCAATATCAATTCTTAAGAACTTCTGTGATTTCCTTTCTGAACGGAGAAAATTGAATGAAAAATTCAAAGAATTATGTTAATTTCTTCTCATTGAAGAAAATTGAATTATAGTAGAGATTTTAAAACACCACTAACAAGATATGTGTTTTGGGGATTTCACCGTCGATATTCTTCCGCATGGAATTTTTGTGAGCGTTAGATTTATTTTTATCGTGAATTGTAACTATGACATGGGCATTTCTTTCCAGGGGCGCAACAATGAAGAAAGTGAAAGAGTACAAAGTTCTGGATGCCAAGGCAGCACAAAACCTTAGTATCATGTTAGGTGGTTCGCTGAAGCATCTATCGTACCAGAATGTGAAAAATTGTATACTAAGATGTGATACTACCGTTTTAACTGGCAGCGTACTAGAGCAACTCATAGCGTACTTGCCTCCTCCTGATCAGCTTCGAAGGTTGCAGGAACTAGGCCCCTCGCAGTACAACTCTTTACCAGAAGCTGAACAGTTTTGTATAACGGTATGATTTTTATATTTATTTCATTTGGTGGTTCACGCATAAAAAATTACCGATAGTAACCATAAAATAAACTTATCGAGAGCTCGTTTATTAAAAATGACAATCAAAAGTAAAGAGAGGGTGCTCAGAGGAATTAGAACTGGTAACAAGAAGTCTCTTGCAAACTTCTGCTCCAGCCAAATGAAGGGAGGGTATGGATTCGATCGACATGAATCGATCAAAAAATGAAAACATGAATTGATTGGCACTGATTCAATCGACAAATTGTTAAAAACCGGTGTCGATTCGATCGACACCGATTCGATCAACAAATTGTTAAAAAACCAGTGTTGATTCGATCAACATGAATCGATCGAAAAATGAAAACAGGAATCGAACAACACTGATTCGATCGACAGTTAATTTAAAAACACCCGTATCGATTCGATCGACGTGAATGGACTGAAAAATGAAAACTTGAATCGATCGACACAGATTTGATCGACAACCGTGAATCGATCGACACCGATTCGATGGACAAACCTGTGAATCGATCGACAAAAGCCGTGCCGTGAATTGATCAACAAACCCGTGAATTGATCAACAAACCCGTGAGTGGATCGACAAACTCGTGAATCGATCAACAAATCCGTGAGTGGATCGACAAACCCGTGAGTCGATCGATTCACATTTTCATTTTTTGATCCATTCATGTCGATCGAATCAACACGGGTGTTTTTAAACTAGCTGTCGATCAAATCGGTATCGATCCATTCATGTCGATCGAATCGGTATCGATCGATTCATGTCGATGAAAACGTATGAATGAAAATGAAAACGTAAATCGATCGACATGAATCGATCGATTTACGTTTTCATTTTTTGATCGATTCATGTCGATCGATTCACGTTTTTATTTTTCGATCGATTCATGTTGATTGAATCCATACCCTCCCAAATGAAGCGCTGGTTCCGATAGAAAATAGCTCAATATTCTGATGAGTGTGTCAGGGAATTCACTCAGACGGACTTCAATCTACCCAAGAAAGAAGGGTATTGATAAGGGCCATTGTTGGGCCCACCCTGAATTTTTTAAACTCTACGATTTTTCGCTCATTAAAGTGTATATTTTCGGAAATGCATCACGATTTGGTCATTTTCAGTCTCCATTTGAGTCTGATACTGGTCTATCTGGGTGTGAAGACCGATTTTTAAAAAAGAATGCGGGTTTTGTGGGTTTGTGGTTGAATGTCAAAAAATCTGCTTTTTTCGCTAAAATTGGCCCTCAGACCCATGTTTAGGCCATTATTAGACCCATAAGGAGACCAAAAATGACCAAATCATGATGTAATACCTAGGTATCCAAAAATAGTAGAGTTGAAGAAATTTTGCAAGATTGGGCCCTCGTTGTTAATCCTCTTTAATCGAATTAAAAAATTCAAAGCAGAAAACCCCATGAAATGATGATAATAATTATTGAGAAGAAAATATTTCACTTGTCCAACACTAAAAGCTTATGAACTTAAATCAAAAAGCTGTAAAATCTCGCTTAGCTTTTTTTTGGCAACTCTTTTAGCATAGCTTTTAACAATAATCAATGTATACTGTTTCAGATAGGAGAAATTAAACGCTTACTACCCAGGCTCAAGTCAATGGCTTTCAAATTGCATCATCCGGAGATGGTCCAAGATATCAAACCTGTGAGTTTACTCCTTCAATTATTTGCCTCTTTTGTCTTCAATTTGTTTTCAGCAATCTCATGTTTGATCAGTATTACTGTGTTATGTTAGTCAGCAGCAAGTGCAAGATTTCCAACTTACAGTAAAACTTAAATGCAATATATTTAATATGTCAAGTCTCTAGGAAAGGTCTCAACTATATCGTAATTCTGGCGTAAGCGTTTCAATTTTGGCTTTTATGTCGAGTGTATCCCTGTAAAATGATCTCTCTGTAAACGCAGTGGAGAATCTTGAGAGTCTGAGGACTTTATTAATAGTTTATTTTTTTTTAATGAAAAGAAGAGTCACATTTTCAAGATTTGTACCTTTTTTATTCACCTTCAACATTATAAAGAACATTTTGTATGAAGAAGAAGATATTGATTGAACTCAGAACAAAAAAGTTAATGGCAGTAAAAGTGTATTCAATTTTTTTTTGCAAGTTCTCCTGTGTAACAACCATAAGGGCTAGTCATCTGCAATTTTACACACTAATTCTTTAAAAATTCACCCGCCAAAATACCCTTATAAGTCGGAAACCGATCAAGTAATCATGGAAGGGTATACCTTTTCACAGTGAAAATTCGTTTCCTGGAACCTAATATTGTTATCATATGCTCTCTTATGAGAGAACTTCGCTCTTTTGAAAAACAATCATATTTTATTATCATTCTTGAATTCTAATACCGGATGTTAAATTGATTGCCAACAGGAAATTGTTGCTGGAACTGCAGCCTGCGAAGAGGTCAAGAAAAGTCGAAAGTTTGCCAAAATACTAGAATTAATTTTACTAATGGGAAATTATATGAATAGTGGATCAAGAAATGGTCAAGCTTTCGCTTTCGAGATGAGCTTTCTACCTAAGGTATTTTGATCAATCACTTGGATATATTTGCTTCTTAGAATGATGGTTATCTGGAAAAACTTGTAAGTGAACCAACTGATGGGATTTTAGGAGATATTCTCCACAGAACACAGCTTTTTCTGAATAGAGCTGTCATCAGATCCAGGAATTATATTTGACACTCGATTGTCAGACAGGATTTTTTCACCGCTGAAACATAGCATTTCCGCATAGCAACAAAATCCGGTTTTTTGGGCAAAAATCTGCATCTGACCTATTTTTTGCATTTATTTCCCCCCAACTAAACGACAACTTAATACAAAAATAATAAAAAAGTCTTGCTTGTGCTTCCTGGTCACAAACAGAGCCTGAAATATCATGTTTTCAGCCTATTTCGATTATCCGTCATTTTCACCATCTGACAGCCTCGATTGCTACATTGTGTTTGATAGTCTGTTGTACTTTGAAAATAAGGATTTCAAAAATAAAGCTTACAGTGAAACGCATTTCTGAGCTTGAAAGAGTTTAAAGTAGCTTTTTCAACTGAAAAAATAAGGCTTCAAGTTGTAAACATAAGAAGAATGTTTCTAATTGGCTTGAAGCTTATAGCATCTGGCATGTATGAGACAGAGTCCTATGGTCTCTTTCAAATCCAATTTTAATAAAATCCATGTTGCAATCTGAATTGCAACCTGGCCACCATACAAATTAAATTTCAAATAAATTATTTTTTTCAAAAGAACTCATTTTCAAGCATTAATAATATTGCAAGTACGGCCTCGTATGGTGTAGTGGTTGTAGCGCTAGCCCTATGATCGGGAGGTTCTGGGTTCGATTCCCGGCCAGGCGACCCGAGATTGATGGTCTCAAATAATGGTTGGCTGAGACTGGCTCAGCAGGGGCGGAGGGGGGATGGGACTTAAAGCGTAGGATTAGCTCTTGTGAGCTACTTGAAGTGCGGGAAAAAAAAAAAAAGTACGGTTAGGATAAATAAGCCATTATTTCAGTTACAATCTAAAAATAAAATAATAAATACTGGTGAAAGAATACACAGGTATCAATTCCTCTTATGACATCAGGAAATCTGTTGCTGTGATATTTTTTGGTTTGAAACACGGTTATATTTTTGGCGAATCATAATCTTACCCCAGACGCAAATGCAATGCATCGTTTATATTTGTCCACTTAAATTTTGACAATTTATTCCATTTTTTTACTAATTACACTTCTTATGGTCATAAAATCTATGTACGGAAAGAAAACAAAAATCAACAAGATGAGTATATAAAGCCAAAAATAGAAGATCAAAAATGAACCCAAAAAAAGATGCTGAGGAGGTAACTTGAAATAACACCCTTGTTGTGGTCAGTTACCAGCAACTTAAAAGCACCTGAAGGTGTGATTCATAAATCTATATCAGTATCAAAATTATTGCCTTGTCCACCTAAGCTCATTACAAAAGATTTATTTACAATTTATTTCTTTGTTTAATACTTTTGAACTTTGTGTCTGATTTCAGCTATCTGCTACGAAAGATATAGAAAATAAAACTACGCTTCTACATTATTTAGTCGATACAATAGAAAGGAAGTTCCCAGAACTCCTCAATTTCAATGAAGAGCTAGCGCACATAGACAGAGCTGCTCGGGTCTCAACAGACACAATCCAAAAATATCTTCGGCAAATGGATGCAAACTGTCGTAATTTGGAAACAGATTTGAGCAATTGTAAAATGCCTCAATGCGACGATGATAAATTCATTGAAGTTATGGCAGTATCCTTTTACTACTTTCATTACCCTTTGTCATCTCCAATTTTAGTTTTCTTCTAGTTTATTTTGCCTTCACTAGGTTGGTTTTTAGTGTGACTGCCAAAAGTTGCAAATTTATTAGTGCGCAAGCCCATACTTTTAGCCTAACTGATTTGAAAAAGTGTTTGCAATGTAAGTGACTCTGTCATGCTTTTTCAATATCCAGTATAATTTGACGCTCTCGTTGAATCAAATGGTTCACAAAAATCTAGAACAAATTAAAGCGACTCCAGTTTCAATCAACAATCAATACCGAAGGGAAAAAAAAGAATCCGAAAATTAAAACATTTAAACTCACCAAATTAAACACACACTACATAAAGTAAACACTGGCTCGTTTTGGGGCTGTGCGGTCTCATATGCAAGGCCAAACTTTCCGTTTCCTGCGTTTACTTTAATGTATTCCGAGAGTTTGAGTTCTTTAATTTTCCGATTCTCTTTTCTTTCTTACTCATCCATCTCACGGTTTGTTCCTTTGTTTTTCAGGCAGATTTCAAAGAAATATTATCTATTATGTTTTGTCCTCAACTCATAATAATCGTTTTTTCATATAAATGATTTCATATTTTCCTCTTTAATTTTAGTTTTGGTTTCGTTTTCGTTTCTTTTGGTTTCATACAGATCATGTGTGCTTATTTTTTATTATTTAAACAGATGTATTTGGTTGGAATGAGAACATTAGGAAAAATTTTATTTTTATGATGAGTCATAAAAGTCGACTTGCTTCGTTTTCCTTAACATTGTTTTTCCAGCCGTTCGCCAAAGAAGCCTCGGAACAGTGTGCATTACTCAAAAATATGCTTTGCAACATGGAAACTTTGTATGCGGATTTAGCAGAATTCTATGCCTTTGATAAGCAGAAATACCCATTGGAAGAATTCTTCACTGACTTAAAAACTTTCAAGGATGCCTTTATGGTCAGTTACTTTAATTTTATCATCTCTCAAACAATGATCGTAGAGTAATGACAGTTTTTTTTGTTATGTGCCTTGAAAATCCTATGCTCACAATTTTATCAGCTACTGTACAACTTTTTGAAGAATAGGAGTAACATTGAAGATCACTCAGGGCAATCACCCTTGGTGCCCATACTGAAAAATTTAAACTTTTAGGCAATTTTGGTTAATTTTAGTTCATTTGCTTTGGTTTTGCCAATCGCCCTCACGCAAATCTTCCTCCCTCAAAACTCCAAATTTTCTGAATCCAGTCTTCTCATGGTCCAACTGAAATCATCACTTCCAAAATGAACGGACATAACTTTGTTTCAACATTTCCAAATTTTCTTTCACAATTTTTATTTTTTACTCGGAAATAATTGGACTTTTTTTTATTAAAAATGCCACAAATTTTTCCATGACGTATCATCAGAAATCTGTGGAATTTTGGACAGCAATTGTGCTTTCATTCTCGTCATTAAAAAAATGAATTGTGCCCATAGAGTTTGCAATCCTGGAATGGAGATGTGCTCCTTAGTTTGGGAAACGACAAAATAAAATTCCTGTGTAAGTGATGCTTTCGGTTATTGTGTGATGTTTTTCATGTATAATTTTGCGTTAAATGTCTAATTAACCTTATTTATCCCAATTGCCTTCAAAATATTAATTCAAGACTCTTGCTTATCTAGACACCCTTCTTTTTTTCTCATTTCTCATCCCTTGCCATCATTTTTCTAAAATCCATCCTTTTTTTCTGAAACTACAGCAAGCGCATAAAGAAAACTTGAAAATCAAGGAAGCAGAAGAAAAGAGTAGAAGGGCAAGGGAGGCAAGAGAAAAGACTGAAATGGAAAGGCATGAAAGAGCAGCAAGGAAGAAAGCACTGATCGACATGAACGCAGGTACACAAGAAGGTGTCATGGACAGCTTGTTAGAGGCGTTGCAATCCGGAACTGCATTCACGAGGGAGCAGCGAAGGAAGAGGAATGTCCCTAGACCTGCAGGAGGTAAATAATTTCATGTCTAAAATTAAATCATAATTTATGAATTGCAGTGAAGACTCTGAGAGTCGAGTGAAAATAACTCACTCTGGTATTTCTCCTTTATGATTTTATTCTTTTTTTTAAATCAAAGCAAAGAAATTGTTTGGTTCCCTGTCCTTCATATGTTTGTTGAACGCTGCTTGTCATAACGATTATTCCCAAAATGAAAAATCATCAGTCCCTTGCTGATTCGTTATTGAGAAAGAGCACTGTATATTCTTCATAATCCAACAAGTTGATCATTGAAATTTATAGACAAAGAAGACATGGGGATTATGAAGCGATCCTATTGGTTGAAACAAGTGGTTGTTACAGACGAAGAGGGAAAACGATGAACTAACCGTAGGGTCTCTCGCAAGTTGCCCCTAGTTAGTCTATTACTTATTTCCTTTCTCTATTGTAATCACTCACTTCCAGCAGAAGGATTGCTCCATTTTATTTTGTATGTTGTTCTGTCCATTAATGTCAGTAATCAGCCTGACGTAGCTAAAAATACCTGAAAAATCATGTGAATTTTATAATTCTCTCTTTTCCTTTCATTGCATTGCATTTTGATGGTGAAACTTGAAGATCCTACAACCCCACTTGCTACATCAGAACTTCTCATCACATTTTATTTCAATTTAAAAAAAAAATTGTTATTAATTTCCAAAACCTCGCTCCAGTTTTTTTCTGTCTGTTTTAAAATATCTATCATAACTTTAATTGAAAACCAAAGCGAAAGTAGATATTTTGGAACGCTACAGTTATTGAGATTTAGGGTTCTTTAGTTTCACCATGTATACCAGCCTTAATGTAATCGTTTTGACAAAGCTGTATTTTAGTGACCTAATCGTGTCCTCAAGTCATGCACCTATGGTTTGTTTGCGCAGCTTTTTGCTCGCAGATAAATTTTTACTTGTAAGCAAAATAAATTGCGGATTTTGCCAACTACAAGTTAATTTTTTCCTTCAAATGAAGACACTACACTAGCACATACCCTAGTAGGCATCAACTTTGTCAAATTCCTCCATTTTTTGGTATTATTCACTTGTTTTTATTCACTATGGAGCATTCTGAAGTCCTGGCAAAGTTGAAATATATTTCTTATCAATTTCTAAATTATTTGTTTTTCTTTTGGTTTTCTATTTGTAGCTGAAAGACGAGCTCAGCTGAACCGCAGTAGATCCAGGACGGGCTTAGTCGGCAGGGAGTTGAGCAGGTACGTTCTTTTTTAAAGTCTTCTGTTCTTCAAAATTTCAGTGAATACGGAAGGAGACTTTTTGTACAAAAATCCTGTAATGATAACGTCAATCAAGTAAATTACACAACTGCTATCATGAGTATAAACACCTAAGTATGAAGACCGAGGAAACTGGAATACTTGGAACTTTCAATTTAAGTGAAAGTCAAATTTTTGCCGTGTATGATCTTCTACTTTTTTTTATAACATAAATTAGAATAAATTTTACCAGAATATGCCTAACTTTTCAGCAGGCTGATTACGATTATTATCGTGCAAGTATGGTACTATCTCTCTCCATGAATAGACACCTGTTTCAATGAGAATTTCTCTAAAACGAAGAAATTGTTCGGTCCCTTGAACTGTTGAGCGCCGATTGTTACAACAAATATTTTTCTGCAACGAAAAATTGTCGGTCCCTTCCTAAAAAGATGTAGAGAAAGAGCACTGTTTATTCTTCATAATTTTTTTTTCTTTTCTTTTTTTCAAATACCCTTACAAGTTCAAATACCCATACAAATAGGAATTCTGCGCTTTCAGCAAGAGTCCCCCCCCCCCTCCTCAGTCCCTACTACCCAACTAGCCCGAGGCAAGTATTGTGTGAGACCATCAAACTCAGATCGTCTAGCCAAGGATCAAACGTGGGACCTCCTGGTTACAGAGGCAGCCTGCAACCAAAATGTATCACTACTAACTAATAATATATTAATGATACAAACGATCTATTTTTCCTGGAAAATTTAGATTTTTCTAAGTGATACCAACTTGACTGAGAGTTTTCAGGTCATTTTCGAAATCAAGTTTGAAAATCTACCCTCCACAAATTCATACCTTTTTATTATTGCAATTTTTTTTTTTATTAATTTATTCCCATATTGACCAGTGTAATTTAATTATTTGTCCTCTAAGAATGTATATCTTTTCTTCTATCTTATCTTTGTTTTTGCTCACTCTGCTTTTCTTTTTGTTGCAGTGAAATTTACGGAAACTGAGGATGGAAATGGGAAGAGGAACATCCTCTTTAGCAAGTTTGATGAGTAAATTAAATTTTTACTTTCATTTGCGATGAATCGGCCTTGAAGATTTCATTAGGAGTAAAATAATTTTTCAATCTTGTGATACTCACACGTCTAACTTTGACTGCTGCCAAATGTGCCGACCTTCGCCTTCACTCTGTTCCCATTGGTCTCGTAAGTTTTTAGACTGTAAGATTTGCCTTGTGGCGTTTTCACATTCCTCTTAAATAGCATTTCTTTTTAGATCAGTTGTTAATATGAAAAGAGATGTTTTGGCTTTTTTTATTTACCATTTCTTCTGGCACAATGCCATTAGGATCAAAAAAAGGGACATCATTTTTTTCGCTTCCATTCCATACATTTGTATATTCAATGATGGAATGTACTGATACGGTTTCAGATAGGGGCTTTTTGATCATTGTCTCTTCCGAAATAGCAGTATCACCATTAGCATTGATGATATCCTAAGGAATAAACGCTTTCCTATGCCATTACTGTCTCGGTTGGAAGTTTCTCCTTCAATTGTTTGAAGTACTCAACATTGAAAAGCTTGTGAAGCTTTTGATTGGCCAAGATATGCACGAACTAAGAATGTTATTAAAAAAACATTTCCTGCCATGTGAGCTAAAAAATTAATATAAGGTCCCCAAAGAAACCTATGCAGGTTTGATGATGTAAAATAGCATCGTGTCACCATTATCCAAACAGAATTAAGATTCACACTTTTTTTCACATCCAAGTGACGTTATCTATCAAATAAGTGCTATGTACTCAAATTATCTGCAAGTGTTGTCAAGGGAGAATATTAGGTCTTGTATCTTGTTGCATTTCATTGTATGGAAAATTTGTCAGCTCAACGAACAGACATGCAAAAGGCTTAATTCTGGGTTACATTCATGCCTACAATTTCTAAAGTTAGTGATTATTACAGGCAAGTGATACCTTCACTCTGTATTTTATGAAAAAATGAGAACTTCAGATAACTTGAGTTGGTCACCAAGTAGTAGCCTTTTGAGCTTACCGATTAAACGATAATTGAGAGAATTCGTTGGAGGTTGAAGTGGTCTTCATGAACAGGGTGTCTATTGGTCTGAACAACTGGGGAAACTGGGCATTGGCAGAGAATTCCATCAAGTCAGGGAAAAGTCAGGGAATTTCATGCAAAAGCATAGAAAGTTGATAAATCTGATTATTTGAACTCTGAAAACACATCGGCTGTCCTCACAATCAAACTTATTTGAACTGAACTACTTAGGGGCTCAATGCTATGAGTTTCTCTCTAAACAGTAAACAGAATAATAAGTTTCAATAAGAAATTGCAACCATAGTTAATTAAATTATTCTTATTCTTAAAAAAACGAAAAAAGTCTACATATTACTGCAATTTTCAGTGAAAGCAATGCCAAAAATTGTTCATTTTCAGTTTTCTGCATGAAAATTGTCGATGTGAAAAGTCAGGGTATTTTCATAAGTTTGGTCAAAGGAAACCTGGAAAATAAGAATTAAAGAAAATAAGAGAATTTTTTCCTCCAGAATCTGTAGACACCCTGATGCTTCTTGTTGGGTCCATCGTTTTATAAAACCTCAAATGGGCTACTAGATTAGGTACGAATAAATATACTACATCACTTATTTTCTCTGCAAAAGTTAACGCAAAATACCAATGCACATGCTGATTCAATCATTAACGTCAGTAGTTTCCCAAAATTCAAACACTGCTGTTTAAAATACAGAATTAGGACTGCTGAAGTTGAAATTTGCTAAGCTGAGACATGGCAGAAATGTTAGTCGGGTAAGTTGGGGCCTTTTCATGCACTTGTGTCGTATCATTTTATTGCCTTTAAACACCTCCCTCCCTTCCAATGTATCTTTTACAGCTCTTCCCTTGACTTCCTTAGAACCTAGAGGTTTTCTTTTCATGAAGTGTCATAATTGTCTGTTGACTATGAACTTTTCATCGAGGAAGACATCGAGACTTCTTTTTATCAAGAAAACTATATATTTATGTTTATGAAACTTTTTACACAATTTGTTAAGTAACACTCTTTTGAGTGGATGGACGGACTCATTTGCTCCATAAGCCTTTTAAAATAGGCGCTTTTCCCTTTATTTCGAAGGTTAGTATTTTTGTAGACTCAAACGGAGATTATACATTTTGTAAATCATTATTTATTAAATTGACACCAGTCGAAAATTCATCGTTATTTTTAATTATTTACACATTGAGCTACACCAATGGTTCTGCTGCAAACTTTTACTAGAGCGAAATAAAGAGTTGCTTGCATTTTATGTGTTAACAGGGTGTGTAGTCTTGTGTTTAAAATTGTGTTCAAGGAGGAGAATGAAAAGATTCCTCAAAAAAAGTTACAACTTTTTATCAATTTTTATACATTTAATTTTTCCTACAATTTGTGGGACACTTTGAGAGAATCTTTATTTTTCTAAGACATTTTTCATTTTCCATATTCTGTACGAATTTTGAGCTTTGATGAATTTTTTTTTTTTTTTTTTTTTGAATGGTAACTGAAGTGTCTTCATCTTTTCTTCCTTCTTTTTTACACCACAATATCAGGTTCAAATTAATTTCAACGCAAAATGTTGGAAGTTTGACATGTAAGTGTCATTTTGTTTCAATACTCGCTTTTTAAGTGAGCTTAGTACCTCTGTAATTATTTATTAATTCCCTTTGAACGAGCCAGGAACTTTGTTTATCGTGTTATTATTGTTTCTCTCTCTTGTTCTAATGCTGTCTAGTTGTTATTAAGTACGAATTTATCAATTCACAAAGTTTATAAACTGTAAATGTGCTGTTATTTCTGTTAGGCATTGTTCCAATTGTATTTATAAATCAGATAGCCCGGAAAACCTAGAAATTGTGATGTACATACTTTTACCTATACATTGCATGTTGATCATGCAAACTAAAAGAAGCAAGAATTATTTTTATAAATTAAATGTTTAAGTTAATGACTTAGATATGCACCAAGTCTGGATATTGCCTTCCGAGCCAAACCTCGTCATACTTTTATAATTATTGTTATTATTACTTTTGATTAATAATTTATTAAATCCTTAGTCATTACTCATCGCAGTTACTGTTTTCCTCCTTGTTTTAATCAAAATGTTAAACCTCCATTCAATGTAAGACACACATAAAAGCTGCAATCAAGCTCAAAAATTATCTTAGAAACAAAATGAAAAATTCTTCACAGGGACCCTAGTAGCATACTGTATAAAATAACGCAGGGGAGAAAATGTATAATTGGTATTTTTCACAAATTTGAAAATTGTACGTATAAAGCTTGCAAAGAAGTCATAAATAGTCAAGAGAATATCTTGGTTCAAGGATTTAAATGAAATATTTCATCCTTTTATGGTACAAAAGTTATGTAAGCCACATGCAACTAGGTAATTTTTTAGACTCTGAAGGAGTATTTTCTTTCAACAATTTGAAGTTCCAACTCCTCAACATAGAATAAAATCGCAAAAGTGGTTAAAAGAAAAAGAAAGAAAGAAAGAAAACTTGCCTCTATTCATGAAGCTGTCAATCCCACGGATCGTCTCAAACAATAAGAAAATGAATAAAGAAAAATCTTTTTCCTTCAAAAACAAAAAAAAGTTCAAACAGCTTTGCAAACTTTTGCTGGTGCCTTTGAAGGGGAAAAATTATTTTCACTCAAGTGAAGGTAAAGAAGGGAAAGACCGTCTGACGCTCATAAAAATCTTGCAACCAATCAGAAATGATAAAAATCTGTGAAAAAGTCAAATGTAAGGTGGCTTACTTTTTGTTCTGAGTTGGGTGCCATATCTCTCTACTTTGTTAATACCTTGCAAACGTAACGTTACGTTACATCTCTAGACCTCTCAGTTTACTCCTCATGGTCCCTCTCGTGTTTTCCTCCTTTCTCTCTCTCTCTCTCTCCCCCTCTCTCCCCCCCTCCTTTCTTACTGGAGCTCGTTTCAGATGAAGAATCCCTTTTTTAATTTAGTGTCACCATTTGAACCAGCAGGTCGATTGTTGAATCGTTATCGAATGACCTTGATCGATAAATAGCATTGTAAAGATAGGGATTTATCGATCAAGTCCATTCGATAACGATTCAACAATCGACCCGCTGGTATTACACTGTGAAGGGAAAACCAATCTGAAAAAAAGTGTTTTTCTTTTCTGCTTGCTACCCTTCCTAGCATTTCTTGAAACAGATGAAATTTCTAAGTTTTGAAAGTTAAACTGTTTCCCTCAGTAGCAGTGTCGCCTACAAGATTTTAAAAAAAAATGTTAAAAATACATACTTAGTCTAGGAGATAAGAAATGATGTAGGTAATATGAAGATCTCCTTTTTTCATGAAGGACCGGGAAAGTGCATAATCCTCATTCAAACTGGTCAAGAATGCATTTTTCGTTAATTTACTTGAATGCATTCTTTTAATTCTTTTACTTTATTAATTATTTAAAGAGGGATACTTGGACCGCGTTAAATAGAAAGGAACCAAGCCACATCAGCTATTGCCAAATTTAATCGGCTAATTAAATTTTTGACATGAAAACAGTTGTGCGGGTTTTCGTGCAAATTTTAGTGGATTTTTCCATAGTACGAAGCAAATTCCTTAACATTTTCAAAGGGATCCGCACAAACGTTTTCTCGTAAAAAATTAAATTGCCCAGTTGAAATTGGCAATAGCTGATGTGGCTTGGTTCCTTTCTGTTAAACGTGGTCCACTTGATAGTGAAGTTGTTCGTGAACAAGCGAACAAGCTCCTTGGTTTCTTGAGCCAGCAACTATTCTAACGTCCAGGAAATAGGGTTGCATAACCGACCAATTGCGGGCGATTTTTGCTCGTAAAGTATCTGAGAGCAGCATATTCAATGCTTTAAGTTTAGAACTTAATCAAGTAGCACTAATACTACATTTAGTAATTTTTTACACCACAGTTAATTTTATATTTTTAATAATTATAGTAATGATTTCAGTTGCTTTTTTTACTTTGTCAAAAAAAAGACTTTATTTATTTATACACAAAAAAGTAATACTTTTTGTGATACTCTTTTATTATACTCTTTATTTTATACAACAGTGCGTATTCTCATTCAGCTCGTTAGTCAAGTGGATACTCTTATTATTTTAGGATTTTTGAGCTGTTATGCTGTGATCCTCACTTGAAACATGTCTCATTGTATCATTAGACTCAATTTACACTGCATACCTATTTCATAGGAGGCCGAATTTATAAATTGCATCTCATTTGGGTGTGTTCTCGTTTTGCAAGACTGTTTTGAATTTCAATCGATTTTAGAACTAACACACATGAAATGGCTTCAGCGAGGAGATTCGCACGAAGATCTCGAAAAAGGGAACAGAAAGCATAACACAGACGTTGGTTTCAAATTCTAATTAAGTCGATTGTTTTTTATGTTATTTTGGCAACATCGCAAATTTTCCCCGTTTTCCCGCGTTTGAATTCAAGGTCAACGAATCAAAATAAATAAACAGTACGCTGCCGGTGCCGTTGTGATAAGACAACACGTGTATCCTGCTGATTCTATGGCGTTTCCTACGTAACTGTTCAACTGATTTTACTCAGTGTTCTGTGAGACATTCTTTCTATTTAATTTTCCACCGAAATCATCCTAGTTGACACACTTACACTGCATCATGCGCGTGTTTCGAAGACCGCAACAGGTGTGGACGAAAAAGGCCGTTCGTTTAGGTAAGTATTGAGACTTGCAACAAGCAAATTTGTCTAAATATCATGTTCCTCCTGCTTTGTCTTTTGGTTTGATACAAGAAAAGTCCATTCCCATTCAGATGAAGTGTCATCTAAGTATTCATAATTACTTGTCCTGTGGACCCTAGGGTACCCATGCTTCTTGACCCATCATGTGATCTCTACCAAGTTGCGATTTGTTCATCAGTAAGTAAGAGGTCAGTATCTACTCTTTCCCCTTGCCCCAGTCTTGCCTTCAAGTTCAACTGGTAATTGTCTTCAACTCCTGATATGAGTGCATAGTCTTCCCACTTAACAACGTGGTCTAGTAGTACTGGGTCGCCACATCATTTTGCAAGACCGAAAAGCTCAAAAATTTCAATTTTAGTCAAAACATACTTTATCACACACATTTTTTAGTGTTTTAACTTCTCACTCACTCAGAACATGCACCCTTCTTGGTCTGCGATTTTGCTGACTTCCTAGTGTACTTCATGTTGTCAATAGATAAATATTCAACGTCATTTTTCCAAAACTTTCCTGCTCCCCCCTCCCCCCCCCATTTTAAGAATAGTCTAATGTCAAGCAGTAGTGTTTATTCACTCTCCTCTTGTTTTCCTTTTTTTAACCAAATTCAAATAGCCCATCGGCTAATCCCACGCTTATTACCCCAGCCCCAGGTGACCATTGCCTGAGACCCTCAAACTCAGATCACCTGGCCGGGAATCGAACCCGGGACCTCTTGGTCACAGGGCCAATGCTACAACCACTACACCATAGGAGGCTAACAACTGATGAAATTTAATATGAGCGGAGATTTTGAAACACCGCAAATGAGGTACACATTCTTCCACAATTTCACCGTCACTATGTGCCATGTTCAGTAACTTACACATTCTCTTGTTTTGTGTTTCAGCGTGACTCACATGCAGTTTTCTCCGTCGAGGAAAAATCTTTGGAAGACTAACAGTGGACACATGTTCTCTCTAGTCTGATATTGATCAAAGAGGTGCTGTTCTTCAGTCAGATTTTGATGGTACCTACAGCAAAGGATTTTTGTAAAATCCCTGTATATGAGTTCATCGACAGTAAGTTGCCCATTTTACAGTTACAGGATGTAATGTTATTAGTTAGTAGGCAAGAGAAAAGGAATTTACTCTGGATAGAGATGATCAATATCGATGGTGAAACTCCCAAACCACGTATCTTGATTTGCAATGTTGCAGACCTCCCGTCATACTTAATTTTTTAATTGGGGAACTTCTCAATGTCGATTCTCAAAAATGTCCGTGATTTTTCTTCTCTGTGTGAAGAAAATTCTGCAAAAACTTCAAGAAATAATGTTGTGTGCGTTGTAAATTCTGATGATTTTTCAGGGAATGATGTTGCATTGTTCTCCTTAATAAAATAAAACAGGAGGGGAGATTTTTAAACACCGCAATTGAGATTTGTGGATTAGGAGTCTCATTGTTGATTTGTCAAAAGACATTTTGTGCCGCACATTTTGGGGCTGTCAAGCACTACGATCTTAGCTTCTTGATTGTTCAGTAATTTTTTTCTAGTTAAGTAATTTTTTTAGTTTTAGTCGGCTTCCTATGGTGTAGTGGTTGTAGCACTTGCTCTATGATCGGGAGGTCCTGGGTTCAATTCCCGTCCAGGCGACCCGAGTTTGATGGTCTCAAATAATGGTTGCCTGGGACTGGTTGTAAGGACGGAGGGGGAACGGGACTGAAGCGCAAGGATTAGCCCTTGTGGGCTATTTGAAGTAGGAAAAAAAAAAAAAAAAGAATGTGTTCATGAGCTGTCCATGAATTACATAAGGCTCTTAGGGGGGACAGGGGTCACTAGCAGCCTTACGGTGCCTCACAAGGGAGAGGGAAGGGTAGGGCTGAGCCTTCCGTATGTGAGCCGTACGCCTACATAAGCTTTCCAGCCTATGTTTAAAGAAATTGCACAAATCCATGTTTCGTCAGGTTGATAGTAAAATTCAAGATGAAATAGTGGATGTCGGCACATCACCTATTGCTGACTGATCGGACCATGCTCCTGTCATTTCTCTTCATTCCCACTTCTCCTCTCTGTAGGGTAATGAGTAGTGATGTCATCCTTATGTCAACTTCATATACTTTTAACTATTCCAGAGACCAAAAAAATCTTCAATTCTGCTCCTTGTATTTTTGTTTATTAAACTAATTGTAGGTATCATTAATATTTCCCAAGAACTTATGTTACTTTCCTGTCCATTTCAATATTTTTTTTAATTTTAAACAATATGTTCCTGGCCATTTCAATATTGTTTTAATATTTTCTTTAAAACTTTGGCACCAACTTGTACTTTTATGAACATTTCAAAGATTAATTTTGAACCTTAAAAAGAATATTAGGTAAAATTTTCAGGTGGCTCTGTCCATTAGTTTTTCCATAAAAAGTGGTTGAAAGGTAAGGAATTACAGTTTTGACCTAATACATATTCAGTGACTCAGGCTCAGGCTAAATTCCTTTGAGTCATGTAGGCAGTCAATTTCCAGAGCTTGCTTGGACAAGAAAACTCAATTTTATCCTTTTTTTTTTAGAAGAAATTTGATGGCAGAAGTGTGAAACCATGTTTCTCTACTGTGGTGTTTCAAAATTTCCGCTCCTTTTTTTATTTTTCCAAACAGGATCAAACCAACTTCAGAGCTTAAAACTTATGAAGATTATCCCCCTGATAGAGAAGAAAAATTGAGGAAAGTTTTCAAGGAAACTAATGTTGACTAGTTTTCCAATGAAAAAATTGAATATTGACATTCAGCCATCAAATATATCTAATCATTATAAACATAAATTGAATGTATCTTCCTTTTTTGTCATGTTTCTAGGTGTGATTTTGCTACATTTGTATACTGTATTCATCTGAGATAATTTAATTTAAGACCGTGATACAAGAAAACTAACTCAAAATTCATATATGCGATCTGGTAAGACTTCTTTATCTCATTTCTTTTCATACTTGAAGCTTTCAAAGTCATTATACCACAAAAATCTGTATTTTATAAGACATGTGAAAAAACTTACTCCAATGGGCCTGTTGCAAAGTTTTGCCAGAGCAAAATAAGAGGTGTCACTCATAGAAAGTGTCAATAATCACGATGAGCGCATCGCCAAAGTCTGAAATGCACTCCTTACTTCACAATGTGCGTAAGAAATCTGCGTTTTTTCGAGCTTCCCGCTTCAAAAACGATACCATGGCACAGGTGAAAATTCCGTTTGAGAAGTCATTTCATCCAACCCCTACTCACAAGGATACTACGCAATATTCAACATAGCCGACGCCAATTCCGCCAAAACACATGTGACGGAACAATGATTCTAACCACCTCATAACAATCGGCGTTTTTACATTCACATTTTTCTCGCGTTGATAGATATCCGCCTTGATTGACCCAGTGCTCTCCTCAACTTGCGCGTGGAAGTGTCAGTCACATTGAGCAGGGATTGAATGGAACGGCTCCTCTAATGAAATGTTCACCTGTGCTGTTGTATCCTTTTTGAAGCGGGAAGCTGAAAGAAACGCGAATTTCTTACGCAGATTGTGAAGTTAGGAGTACATTTCAGAGTTTACCAATGCGCTCATCGTGATTTTTGAGATATTATCTATTAGGGACAACTCTTATTTTTGCCCTGGCAAAAGTTTGCAACAGGCCCATTCAGCCAATTTCTCAAGATACCCTAATTGCATTGGCTGTTTAAAAAAAGGTAAAAAAAAACTATGAAGTTTTAAAGAGGAAATTCCTTTTGAAAAAAGTTTTAGTATCCGATTTAGGAAACCCTTTTTCTTCACAGCGTAAATGCCACCCTGCACTTTTACAAGTTCTTTCACTTAATTTTATTAAATTTTACTAAAAAATCTGGTTTTTATTTCGCTTATTTTGTAATTTATTCAGTGTTAAGCATCAATGTGATTGGGTGATTTTTAGAAGTTGACAAAATTTTGAAGCCAATTTTTCAGAACTTTTTTAACGTAAATTTCACAAGAACTTGAAATACTATCCAATTAAGCTTGAAAAGATGAGTTTGCAACAACAGTCTTTTTCGGTGAATGTTGACCTTGTAACTTAGTGCATTGTAGCTACAGCCTCAGGCTCATTTTCTTCCACACTTAGACCTTCTGAGCTACTAAATAAGCCCAACAGCATGCCAGGGAAAGGATCTCCAACTGCATTATGGTTGTTCAAAGTTGGCGCGGCGCCCTGCTCATTAGAATTCTCCGCACAGTGGAATTCTTGGGGGTGCATCCTCCATCAATATCATTATCATTGCGCCTAGAGCCACAAAGTCAGCAGCAGTTAAATCCTCAACTCCCCCCCCCCCAAAAGAAATCAAAAAACGCACTTTGGTTACCAAAAATTCCATTATTCGCTCACAAATCATATTTTCTGCAAGTTTTATAGTGGAATTGGACGTATTTCTATTTAACGGAACTAAGTGCCACTTTGTGTTCCTTCTGAGGATTTTAAAATCCGGGATAGCGCGTTCTGTCAAATGGAACTAAGCACCATGGAAAAGCATTGCGGATATAGGACGGAACCAGCATCGCGTTCCGCATCACCTGCCAATCCAAGCCCTCCTCTCCTCTCCCTTCCTCCCCCGATGGCGCTTAGTTCAGTTTAATAGAAATACGTCCAATTAGACAAAGTATCTTATTTGGTAGAATCCATTACAGGAAAGGAAAATGCAACAACTATCCGTTCATGAGTCATGAGCACTCAAAGATTTTGTTTCTAATCGCCCAGAGGCAAAACTCGACCATTTTCATGCCCCTCAAATCGTCTTCTGTCAGCCCTGATAATTTGATGCCATTTCGTGGGGAGGAGAGGGGGCAAAAATGCTAATGTTGCATGTCTTTTTCCTAACTTGATTTGATTATGTAAAATTATCCTCTCAAACTATTTCTGAGATTTCGCTAACAGCCTAATTTTGATACACCTCAGCCGAAAATATGAACAAGCAGCTCCTAAATCTTTTCTGTAATAATTATTTCAGGTCCTTCTTGAAAAGATACCTTCCTCTTTTCCTGCGACGTCAAGACATTTTTGAAGAGGTAAAATACACACCCCAGCATATAGTTTCTCAACCAAAAGACGTCTGTTTCAAACTTCTATGCTCGCAAGAGTCTGTGACCATAATGCTACACTTGCTCCATGACGTCCCGGAGGATTTAGTTTCCTCATGCTTGTCGAAAGTCGTCTCATCGTCGGCTTATCACGAAGCAACTTTTCAAAATGACGTCAAACGTGTCCAAATGCTCATTCGTTCAGGCGTCGATATTAACCAGAGGGAGTCAACGTTTCATTTTACCCCTATTTTTTTAGCTATCTTTAATGAAAATTCACGGATTGTTAAAATGATGGTCCAAGCAGGAGCGGACCTAAATGTGAAGGCTAAATTTAACATGACACCATTGTGTTGTGCTGTTGAGACAGGCAATATCAATATGGTAACACGTCTTCTGGATTTAGGAGCGAACATTGAAGCAAAAGATGAGAAAAATAACTCTCTTTTGCACACAGCTGCTTTTTGTGGCTTACCTGAAATGATCAAATTTCTTATCGAAAGAGGCCTCAGTGTCAATTGTAGAAACGATAATGACGAGACACCATTACACAAAGCAGTCAGAAATGAGCAAAAAGAAGCTGTAAAAATGCTTCTTACCTATAGAGCTGATGTCAATGTTGTCGCAAGTTATATTCCAGACGAAATTCCAAAAGACTCACTAAACCAAGAATCGGAAGAAGAATTTCTAGCCAAATTCAAAGAAATTCGACAAGATAAATATTGTACCACTTTGATAATTGCAATAATCAAAAAACGGATTGATCTTGTTGAAATCCTCATTCAGGCAGGTGCAGATGTTAATACTAAAACCAATCTACTACATTTGAGTCCCTTGCATTTTGCAATCGGTGTGAGATCCCTCCAGTTAATCAAGTTGTTGCTCAAGGCAGGTAGCGATGTAAATGCAAAATCAGCATTTGATACCTCTCCCCTACTCCTAGCTGTGATTTCAAATGAGGGGAAGATTGTAGAAACTCTTCTGGAAGTAGCGGAAATTGAAGTCAATTGTCTTAATGATAAAGGATCGACGCCGCTAACAACGGCTGCAAGCAATGGGCTTCTGTCTATTGTTAAGATGCTTGTCATGAGAGGTGCACTGATTAATGGGACCCCATCTGAGGCCTTTTTGCCTCTTCATAAAGCTTTATTCTTTGGGAAAGAACACATTGTCAACTGGCTAATCAATAACGGTGCTAGCGTTCGGGCTCGGGATTCCAGAGGCCTCACAGCGATAATGGCAGCAGTTATGAGCAAAGATACTACACTAAAAATGATAGAAACTCTCATGAAGAAAGGAGGAAATATCAACTCCAAATGTAAAGGTGGCTGTACCGCACTTCATTATGCTGCAGCCTCTGGCAACTTGAGAATGGTGAGGTTTCTCATCGATCAAGGTGCTAACCCCAACGAAAAAGATAAAGAAGGACATACAGTCCTGCACTTTGCAATAAGAAGTGAATGTATCAAAACCGCAGAATACCTCATTGATGAAACAGGCGTTGATCTAAATGGTGGTCCACTGTCACCTTTATTATGGGCTGTCGGATTGGAAAATCAGGACATGGTCAAGCTACTCCTGAAAAAAGGTGCGAATGTTAATGTTAGCACCTGTTATGGTACAACACCATTGCATCTTGCTGTAAGAGAAGGCTGTCAGCCCATCACTGAATTGCTCTTAAAGTACAAGCCAAACCTCGAATTCAGAACAAGCCAAGGTTCCACTGCCCTATTTTTGGCTGTTAAAAATCAGCATGAGAAAATAGTTGAAGCACTGCTCGATAAAGGTGCTGATCCAAACGATATTGACGATTCTGGTAATTATCCAATACATGTTGCCATCAATTCTGGTAAGGTCAACGTAGTCAAAGCATTGCTCAACAAAGGGGCTTATTTTGATGCAATAGATGATTCCATCAACTCTCCTTTAGACTTGGCTCGCAAAACCGGAAATGTCAAATTAATTACTCTTTTGGAGCTGATAAAAAAACTTTTTCTCGCCATAGCGAAAAAGGAGTTTTACCAAATTGAATGCTGCATTCAGGCAGGCGCAATCGTTAATGCCAGGAATTCAAATGCCCAAGGAAAAACTGCGTTGCACTTTGCTGTCCTCTACAAAAATGTCAAGGCAATCAATTTGCTTTTGGCTCACAAAGCTGACATCTCGCTGCCAACGGACCTAGAAAAAGTATCCCTCCACTATGCCGTTTCAGGTTGTGATCTAGTAATCGTGGAAACTCTTCTAGCTCATGCCACGGAACTTAGCTTTACGAAGCGCCATTTTTTTATTAATGCTTCATCGATAGATTATTCAAATACTCCTCTCCACAATGCAGCACGAAAAAACAACTTCAAGGCCGTCAAACTTCTCATCGAACATGGAGCTGTGTACAATATGAAGAACGATGATGGGGAAACTCCTTTTCATCTCACAACTGATAAAACAATTAAGGATTTTCTGTGTTTGATCCAAAAATTGTTTGAAGTTGTGAAAATTCCTGATGGATCTAAGGAAGTTCTAAAAATTGTTGGCAGTCAAAAGTCAGTGATCAATGCGCGGGACTCGGATGAAGGTAGAACACCGTTAGTATGGGCTATTTTGAAGAATCTCACCACAGTTGCGGAAAATCTTCTTAAGTGTAGGGCAGACTATTTTCTAGTCACGGACCAAGGAGCGACACCATTGCATATTTCTGCTTCAAAAGGGAATTTGAAAATGATCAAAACGTTGTTGAATCGAGTGAAAAGCGAGAACCTTGAAAAAATGAGTGACTTCGTTAACGCCCCTACAGAAAATGGTTCTACTGCTCTTCATATAGCGACTAGTTTAGACATTGTAAGATGCTTATTGCAAGAAGGAGCAATCTATAACATGACCAATGGCAGTGGAAAAACACTGTACGAGCTCACTAAAAACAGTGATATCAGAAAGTTCTTGCAAACTGTTGATAACTTCTTCAAATCAGTCAAAGAGGACACCTCGACCATGATGAATTCTTTGGTTGATCTGGATGAAGAAAATTTTAAAGCTATCACTAGCGCACGCCATGAAAATGGGCAGACTTTGCTTCAGGCAGCTCTCGCCCATAATAAGATGAAAGTTGTTAGCAAGATACTTGAGAAATTGAGAACTTTGAGTTAAAGCTGTCGCTCTCCCTCCTCTGGTCCCAGTGACAGTTGGACTGCATTTTGCAATTTGAAACTATAAATTCTGGCTCTTCAAGAAAAACACTTATGTGCATAGGGAAACTAATGGCACATACGTTGTTTTTAAACCGGGCTAGAATTTATAGTTCCAAATTGCAAAATGTAGTTTAGTTTTGGTTTATTTTATGCACCATTTTTCTTATCTTTCTAAGGATTGTGTTTATCTTTAACTAAGATGATAGGTGATACTTCAACTTGTCCATTTATAGAAACAATATTTTTGCCTGACCCTACTGATGAAACAATCAAAACCAATAATAAATTAAATGACTTATTACAAATACATAAAATATTATAATAAATGAAATTATTAAATATATTAATAAAATAAATTAAATTCCTTAAAAATAATATAATCACTCACATGTGCTAGGAAACTTTGGTTTTTGATGTGCTTCAGCTGCTCACTGCCTGGCCATCTTCAGATGCCATCAAGAGTCGCTGACAATGGCCGAGCGGTGAACGGTCAAAACACATTCAAATCCGGAACTCATAAATGATCATCATTGATTATTTTTTGAGAAATTTTTAGCGCATTGACAAATCTATGTGTCCTCACGCCTATGTTATCCTCCTCATCATGTTTATTTTAATTCAAAACTAGTACGTCTGTGTTTAATGACCCTTGTTAAATTCTTACAGAAACTGAAAAACATTTGAGGTATCACCATACTTACCATATCAATCACTATTTTTAGTAATGTATTCCTACTAATTATTGAGTGCCTTTTGTATTTTAGTCTTATTTCATTCCAAAAAAAGTGTTTTGATGTTACCTTTTCGTGCGGTTTATTTGACTAAATCAAACTGATGAATTTCACAGTGAACAAGGCACCTTGCCGAAAAGTTCAAATTCATGCAAAAGCAAGTGTTGTACAACGATTTTGCTTTTTGTCAACATTCAGAGATTCTAAGGGACCTTCAAACTCCTAACAACCCCCCCCCCCACCTGTTTTATCTGGAAAATCCGAATTTCTGGACAATTTTGTGATTTACCTACTCAGGTTTCTCAACATGCCAATTGTATTTTTCAACGCAGAGTTTGAAAATGACAGTAGTTTCATCTTATCACACTAGAAATTTTTTTTCTAATTCAATATTTTCTCCCTCAAAAATTATTCTTATCCAGGAAAAATTCAATTTTCCAAAGCACTGGTACACGGTGGGTATAAACCAGGATTTTTCTTGAATTCAGTACCCGAAAATGTAGAGGTACATATTTATGGAATGCCCAAGAATTTCGCCCTCTCTTCCTAATAGCAAAGCTTCGGCGTCCAAGTGACCAAATCTGTTATTTTACCCACACTTCTAACCTTATCCATTTGTTTATTGTCTAAAAAGGAAGGAAAAGAACAGTAAAATGTTGTACATCCCGTCCTCTCAAGGTTTAACTGATGTACTTTTTGCTGCTGAATCTGAAAGTGATCTCACTTTCTTTCCATCGCTCAGTTACTTGTAAAGTTTTTTACTGAATCACATTTTTCAAAAAACCAGAGTTTTTCTGGGAAAAACCTGACGATAGTTTGAAGGCTTTCTGTAAAGCAAATGTTAACTAAATGCAAAATCGTTTGACAACATTTGTTCGCACTTATATTGGAGGGTTTTGGCAGGGTGCTTTGTGAATTTATATTGAAATTTATCAGAGTAATTAATTGAAAAAAGTCGTCACGCATTGACTCCTCGACATACATTGTATATAGAGCATGAGGTTTGTCTAGGTAAAATTTACTCAGGTACTTAATCGACAGTGACACTGCAGGAAGGTATATCTCGTTTGCTATGTTTTATAAACTCAGCCCTCATTTGATTTTATGTCAGGAAAACAAAGCAACGCTTTAGCTTGAAATTTTCACAGAAAGTTCTTCTTTTAGAGAAAGGAAAACAGGGAAGTTTTCAAGAAATGACGTCAAGTACTTTTCCATTTTAAAAAAAGTACAATAGCTAGTCTGCAGCATTGCGAATCAATGTCCATTTTTCTGCAGTTTCACTGTCGATGTGCTGATTTCGTTCTATTCAAACTAAGAATTCCAATTTTTGGTTCCTTATTTTTTATTTTGCCATTTCTTTCATTTATCTGCCTACCTACCTACTTACCTACTTATTTTACTCTCTTGTATATTTTTATTTTTTTTATCCTCCTTCCGATAAGTTTCTCTCGGAATTCGGAAGAATAGGAGATGTTTTTCTTTGTGCTTCAATTTGTGGAGCATCTTCAAGATTAATTTTTTAATTTTCATGTATTTGATTACTTCCAGCAAGAAAAACTTCCTCGTTTTGTCACTTCTCTCATTAAAGTTTTGTCCTTTCAATTTTTTCAAAATCTTGAGCTTTCACAACCAATTCACCATTACCTATCTGGACATTTTGTAATTAGGAACTACAATTTATGGCTCATTCTAGAAACAATATATTTTTTATTTGTGCCATTAGTTTTCTAATGCAGGCAGGAGTTTTTATGTATGACCCAGCTGCAAAATAAAGTCCTATTAAAGCGCTGGGTGCAGGAAGGGCATTTGGACGTATTTCTGCCAAACGGAACTATGTACATGAAGACATGAGCCCTAAGATCCATAGGAATATATGCATAACAGGGCTCACGTCATTATGCACATAGTTCCGTTTGGCAGAAATACGTCCGTTGATCGGTTTCGGTGCCTCAGAATCTCCAAGATTGACATTTTTGCATTGGTGAATGCATAGCTGAAGTGTGCTTCTGCTAGAATTGTATATTTACAAATGGGTGGTTTTACTACGAGGATTAAAAATAAACGAGTGGCACGGAATGTAACGAAAGAATATGAACTATGCAAAACGATAATCCGGGTATCGGAACTTGGCTGATTTGAAAACGCCTTCAAATGCGGCGTGATACCTCACGCATTCCGGAGAGTTCAAATAGTTGTATCATTGTCCCGTATGAATATGACCGAATATTTAAATGGAAATAGCCTTCATGCCACGTGCCACGGGGCTTCACCATTTCACAGTAGAGGTGTTGTACAGTATTATACAAAATTGATGGCACTCCAACATACCAACAATAAGAATGACAGGCATCTTTTAAAAGTACGGAACTTTCCGTGCAAAATAAGTCGAGCTAAGAGAGATAAAGGAACATTCTTGAATATTCCGTCAAGAAGATTTTATTTTGAATCAATAATGAAATAGGTGAACGAAAGCGGGTTTCTGCTTGATGTAGTGACTTTCTTTTTTATAAAATTTTCTTTATTAACTCATAAGGAAATTTTCTCGGCGGTAAATTTGAGGATATTTCTCCTTAAATTAGGTCACTTGTTCCTCTAATGAAGTTAAAAATCATACTGAACGTTATTAAATACAGATACTAGGACAGTAAGTTTTTTGACTATCGCTCTCTTTTTGTTGTCGTCACTCGATTTAATTTGCGAGGGAACTTCGTGCTTTTCAAAGAAGCCATCGATCATGATACGTTGAGGTGCCTTCGATCTCTTATGATAGGTACTGTGCAACACCTCCGTGGCGAAATAGTAGCTCGAAGCGCTGCGGCAAACCAGTGCCGAAGCGAAGTTATCATGCACAGGAAAAATATGAGATCCTTTATGAGGCAAATCAAAAAGTTTTCCAGTTCAGGTATAAAAATATGGGATTTTCTTGAAAGATAATTAAGTCCTGTTTCACCAAAGAGGTGTAGAGAGTTTTAGTGAATTTTCTCTCATGGAAATGATGACATTCCCTCATTTTTACCAAAAATCGCAATTATATATTTTTCTCCGTTGGAGCAAACAAACAAAAAAAAAAAAACAAGCAAACCCTCATTCTTCCAAGACATTAAACATTTTCATCAAAAAACGTCGTGAGCAATTTTCGTTTGAATTTACATGTGGACCAATTAACTTTGGGTCTTTAGTGGTAAGCAAGATCCATCCATATAGGTCAGTCATTCCCGAAACCCAAATGAGAATCTTCTGCGCATGACGTCAGCATTACTGCCGCGAAAACCAGAAATGTCGGAAACAATGCTTTTCTTATGGGAGAGAACACATTTTTCTTAATGAATCATTTAAATTTCTTACTTTTAAATTCTTTGAAGCTTTCTGAGTGTCGAAAGGAACGTTTAGAAATTAGCGTCAAGGGTTTCAATTCAGCTGAATTTGCGTTTTTATATTTTTAAATGATTTTTGAAGTCAGCGATGTAACAAGCCATCTAGTGGTATAGATTCGCGTGTAAAAATGGCTGATGCAGAGTAAACTGTAAAAATGAAAGAACACAAATTCGGCAAAATCGAAACCCTGAATGCTAATGTCTAAACGTTCTTTTCGACACACAGAAAGTTTCAAAGGATTTAAAAGTAAGAAATTTAAATGATTCATTAAGAAAAATTTGCTCTCTCCCATAAGAAAAGCATTGTTTCCGACTTTTCTGGTTTTCGCGGCAGTAATGCTGACGTCACGAGCCAATGGAAAGGGGCTTACCCCGAGCGGGGAAATCTGCGCAATGACTGACCTATATGGATGGATCTTGGTGGTAAGTAGACAAAAACTCACCCTCCGAAAAAACGCGTGGACGTAAACTACTGGAAAAAAACAGGTGCGCGGACAAAAAATCGTTGACGAAATGTCCTATAACCCAATCACACAGTAATATGTAGTAATGTAGTTAGAAAAAATCGAATGCATACAATGGTCCATCCTGGCGGCAGCAATTTCGATATGGCGGGAAGCGTCAACCAATCACGACATGAGTAGTACACCACTAGCGCTACCTGGTGGCAGGACGATGCAAACCCATCGCTGCGCGGTCATTGCCTTTTCGGAGCTCGAAATGGCATTCCTTTTGACCGTTTAGTTTCTCTCAAGGTTACCTATCGAGATTTCAAGGCCGTATAAATGCTACCACTGCATGAGATAGCATTCTTTCGATGGCTTATAACCCTAAAAAGTTAAAAATAAACAAGTTGGTTTTTGCAATCGCTAGCGATAGCAATATTCGTCATGGGAACTTTTGCTTCTGGGATATGAAAATGTTAAGGTACAGTTCGTTTGTAGTATCTTCAGAATTGAAGGGGCTATGTAATTTTGTGTCGACATCTCTTTTTAAACAATTTTAATTTTTTTTCTTTGCATACAAGAAAGCTGTTATTTACCAATTATTTATTTTCGTTGGATTATGTATGGTTTTTGGAAGTTAACGCATTTAACTTTCAGTTTCGTTTTTTCGGCGTAAAGTATGATATTTTTACTCTACGCATATGCCCGAATACGCATCATAAGTGACCTATGTGCTTCCTAAGTTGCCATTTTTTTCATTCAAATAGATGTAACTGAAATGTTAGATGTGTACTACCTATACTACTTTCATGTCATTGCTTTATTTATTTATTTATTTATTTATTTACTTTTTGCGTAGGTATAAATTGTTATTTTTTTCTGAATTTTGGAGAAAATATTGCTTTAAGAACGTGGAATGTAAATTAATTTTATTGAAAAAAGAAAATACCATCATTAATTTGGGCGAACAGAGAAAATATACATCAATATTTGGGTCAACATCTCCCTGATTATATGAAGGATGAATATATTAGTATTTCTGTATCAAAAAACTTAGCTTTTGTCTTCAGAGATACAATGATTCTAGTCCAAGTCAATTTGTTTTATTGAAAAAACAAAAACAACAACAAAAAATAAATAAAAAAAAACAACTGAAATGTTAGACGTACTATTTTCATGTCTTTCTATTTGTATCAATAGGTACTTTTTGCTTAACTTACGAACGTTGAATGCAAATTAACTTTATTGAAAAAAGAAATCAAAGTCATTAATGTGGGGTAACATGTGGCTGATTATATGAAGGAGGTATATTCCAGTATTTATGTTTAACATATTAATTCACGAGAAAATGTTCGTACATTTATCATCTAGTATTAATTATTTTTTGATGATTAGTCTAAAACATTCAATACAACCATTAAAAAGTAACACCCATCGTCGGGTATCGAACTCCCGATTGCCTATTACCCGCTCCTTTTCATAAAAATGTGACGACCTAGTCAACCAGGCTATCACGGCTCCGCGGTCGGTGAAGTAAAAATAGCATACAAAAGACTCTGACGGTGGGCGGGGCTTATCACAAGAGTTGTTTTCGACGCGACGCTTTGTAGCTTCCGCCTAAGCGCCTTTCTCTGTGAGACATTGTTTACCTATGCTATCATGTGTCTCAAGGTTCACCTCACCATGCATTTGCTATCGCGGCAGTAAGCTGAGGCAATATTTCTGTATTCATGGATTAAATCAATCAATCGAGTTCTGATTTTGGCTCATATATCCGTAACGAGTCCTCCAGAACAATTTTCCACCTTGTACGATGGTTATTATTTCTTTACTTCTATTTTTCAAATTTGAGGTGGGATAATGGCGGCTTCTCAAGAGCAACGAGGTAGGCGATCTTTTGCACCAACGAACAGAAAACTGATGGCGAAAAATAACCAATCAGAACCTCCCAAAAAAAAGAATTTGCCTAAAAACGGAACTTCGTGGTTCTGCGCAGATTTACCAGTCAGACACGACATCTTAAGGTGGAAAAAAACTCGCTGAAAGCGAATTTTAGCAATCAACACAACTTGACGTAGAGACATGATTGGCTAAAAAATACAACGGTTTTTGATACATCGGAAAATCAACCAAAAATCGGAGACTGGGCGAAACGCTCAAGGTCGCAGAGGTATAGGGAATCCCATAGCGAAAGCAACGGAACGATTCTAATATCATGGGGAACTCCGTTCCCATGACAATATTACAAGTCACTGGCGTGCCGAGGAAGTCAATTTCGGAGGCTGCTTTTTCCAATACCCCTGCGACAAGTGTGCGGCGACTCAGTGGCGTGGCGTGCTTTGCGATATATCGATCGATACGCCACTCAAACCTATGAAAAAAGATCGATTATTAGGGTGTTCACAGGGAACACCTAAGTAATCGATTCTTTACCATAGCTTCAAAAGGCGATATATCGATAATCGATCGTTCACGCCACGCCACTGCGGTGACTGGCAATGTTATGTCAACGGTGAAACTCAGGAAGTCTCAAGCAGCGTTAAGGTGATTAGAGGAGGTGATCGCATAGAGCTTGTCCAACCGGAAAATCGGACTTGGCGGCTCATTCCCTAGAGGACTAGCTCGGTTTCAGCCGGATCGGAGATCTTTCGATTTTGACCCCGAAAATTTAGTCCATGTAACCCCTGTCGATTTTTCTCGATTTTGGACAAGATAAAAAATTCCGGGATTACGGTCAAATCCTAAGTAATTGGAGGCGTGGAATGGATTGCGCCTGGTGCCGAAGCTCCCCGGGGCCTCCAAAGCCGAGAAACCTCTTTGCAAAAGCTCACCGAACTTGCGCTTTCCGCCCATCTCGCAACCCAGCGGACTCGTGGAGCTTTTCCGATCGGAAAATCGGACTCAGCGGCTCATGCCCTAGAGGACTAGCTCGGTTTCAGCCGGATCGGAGATCTTTCGATTTTGACCCTGAAAATGTAGTCCATGTAACCCCTGTCGATTTTTCTCGATTTTGGCCGGGGGAAAAAATGCCGAGATTAGTGTCGAATCCTACGTAGTTTGAGGCGTAGAAGCGATTGCGCCCGGTCCCAAGACTCGCCGGAGCTGCCTAAACCGGAAAAAGGTTAAAGACGAGTGTTTCTGGCCCTGTTGCAAAAGTGTGTTTTTCGTCGGTAGCGCGGTCCAGTGGACTCGTGGAGCTTTTCCGACCGGAAAATCGGACTCAGCGGCTCATTCCCTAGAGGATTGGTTCGGTTTCAGCCGGATCGGAGATCTTTCGATTTTGACCCTGAAAATGTAGTCCATGTAACCCCTGTCAATTTTTGTCGGTTTTGGCCGGGGAAAAAAATTTCGAGATTAGTGTCAAATCCCGCGTAGTTTGAGGCGTAGAGTCGATTGCGCCCGGTCCCAAGACTCGCCGGAGCTCCCTAAACCGAAAAAAGTTCAAAGACGAGTGTTTCTGGCCCTGTTGCAAAAGTGTGTTTTTCGTCGGTAGCGCGGTCCAGTGGACTCGTGGAGCTTTTCCGACCGGCAAATCGGACTCAGCGGCTCATTCCCTAGAGGATTGGTTCGGTTTCAGCCGGATCGGAGATCTTTCGATTTTGACCCTGAAAATGTAGTCCATGTAACCCCTGTCGATTTTTGTCGATTTTGGCCGGGGAAAAAAATTTCGAGATTAGTGTCGAATCCCACGTAGTTTGAGACGTAGAGTCGATTGCGCCCGGTCCCAAGACTCGCCGGAGCTCCCTAAGCCGGAAAAAGTTCAAAAACGAGTGTTTCTGGCCCTGTTGCAAAAGTGCGTTTTTCGTCGGTAGCGCGGTCCAGCGGACTCGTGGAGCTTTTCCGACCGGAAAATCGGACCCAGCGGCTCATTCCCTAGAGGACTAGCTCGGTTTCAACCGGATCGGAGATCTTTCGATTTTGACCCTGAAAATGTAGTCCATGTAACCCCTGTCGATTTTTGTCGATTTTGGCCGGGGAAAAAAATTTCGAGATTAGTGTCAAATCCCACGTAGTTTGAGACGTAGAGTCGATTGCGCCCGGTCCCAAGACTCGCCGGAGCTCCCTAAGCCGGAAAAAGTTCAAAAACGAGTGTTTCTGGCCCTGTTGCAAAAGTGCGTTTTTCGTCGGTAGCGCGGTCCAGCGGACTCGTGGAGCTTTTCCGACCGGAAAATCGGACTCAGCGGCTCATTCCCTAGAGGACTAGCTCGGTTTCAACCGGATCGGAGATCTTTCGATTTTGACCCTGAAAATGTAGTCCATGTAACCCCTGTCGATTTTTCTCGATTTTGGCCGGGGAAAAAAATGCCGAGATTAGTGTCGAATCCTACGTAGTTTGAGGCGTAGAATCGATTGCGCCCGGTCCCAAGACTCGCCGGAGCTGCCTAAACCGGAAAAAGGTTAAAGACGAGTGTTTCTGGCCCTGTTGCAAAAGTGCGTTTTTCGTCGGTAGCGCGGTCCAGCGGACTCGTGGAGCTTTTCCGACCGGAAAATCGTACTCAGCGGCTCATTCCCTAGAGGATTGGCTCCGGTTCAGCCGGATCCGAGATTTTTCGATTTTGAACCTGAAAATTTAGTTAATATAACCCCCTGTCGATTTTTATAGATTTTGGACAGGAAAGAAAATCCCAGGATTCCGGTCGAATCCTACGTAATTGGAGGCGTGGAATGCGCCAGTTGGCGAAGCTGCCTGGGGCTTCCAAAGCCGAGAAACGGTCAAAAACGAGTGTTTTTGACATTTTTGCAAAAGCTCACCAAACTCGCGTTTTACGCTAATCTCGCGGCCCAGCGGACTCGTGGAGCTTTTCCGGTCGGAAAATCCGACTCAGCGGCTCATTCCCTAGAGGACTAGCTCGGTTTCAGTCGGATCGGAGAACTTTCGATTTTGACTAGTTGCATACCAAAAAATCATTTTAGCTCATTTTTTTTCACCGTTGATCCATTGGTTACTTTAATTGCGGTTGGCGTTTTGTCAAACTCTACAAATTCCAAAAAAAGAAAAGTGGCAGTTAGGCAGCTTTGATTTCCATTATTGGTAATTAAATGTTTGTCTCTTTGCAAATCCTTACCCAGACTACTAATCTATTTTGTCTATAGATGGCTGTAGTCTCCGCATAAGGAATATAAGGCAATAAACCAACAGAAGAAGAAGAAGAAGAAAAAGAATACTTACGGATCTTCAGTTAATAATTTACAGTATTATTAGTAAGTGCTGTAGATGCAGTAGTGCGTGTAGATGCTGTGGGCAATCTTGCCCACTGAGGTTGACAATTTAAACACATTTTGCTGAAAATCAGTCCTCAACTTTTGAAATCTAAATGGACCTTGCCAAGCAGAAAGAAATAGAGCCACATCAACTATTGCCAAATTTAATTGGGGAATTAATGTCTTACACGGAAACGGTTGTTTTGGATTTTTGTGCAAGTTTCAGTGAATTTTCTGCCCAGTAAGTATGAAACAAGTTCCTTCATGGGGCTTTTGTACCAAGGACCTGCATTTTTGGAGATGACATTATCACCTAGGCCTGGATATTCATTCGGATACAAGAATAAAAGAGCCCATGTCACAATAGAAAAATATCCTTCAGATTTAAATACGACAATTTGACTTCTGTCGAGCTCTTTTTTCAAGATAGTCTTGAGAGCTGAAAGCATCAAAGATAGGTTGATTAGTAGCCTTGCATCCACGAAATGTTTTCATGAAATTTGTCGCTGGCTTGAGCTGGGGGAATGAGGGTTGAGGCAATTTTTACTGTTACAGTCTCTGCAAGATAAGGCTCTCACGTTTCTGCACGAAGTATGCGCACGAAGATAAATTAGTAAAAATCGAGTATTGAACCGGAATTAAGATAATATTGAGCTATACAAACTATTTAAATTAAAGAAGCACTAAAAATCGAATGAACAACAAAATATCACACAGCTTGCTTTCACTTCTTTTTCCCTCTTTTAGGTCTTCGATGTCGGTCGGAACCCTTCTTGGCACTGCAATTGAGGCACTGGATGCGAAAAGGGCACTTCTCGATTGCGGTGTTTCAGAATCTCTGTTGCGAATTAATGCCTCGGAGAAGAATTCAATGGGTGATTTTTCCAGAATTCTTTCCCTAGAAAATTGTAGAATTATAAGGAATATTCAGTAAAATGTCTAGTGTAATGGATGCATTCACTCTCCTTACAATGAATGAAATATTAGATGAGACTCTAAAACACTGCAAACGAAAAGTGCCCTTTTTGCATCCAATGCCTCAATTGAAATTGCGTTGGTCAATATTTTCCCAACTTCCCAAGTGAGACTTTTCTTTACGACAAATCCCATGGAAACGCCCTGTGGAGACAAGGCCTTATGCAAAGAGAAAGAAAAACCACACAACGTACTGAAATTATGTTAGGGTCTTTATTAAGAAAGAAAAACTAGAATCTAGTCACTTAAAATGATCAGGATACAAAACAATCACAAACTCTGCAAAATGAGAGTGTCTCCAGCGAGTGAATTTAAAAGACATGGTCAAAATCATTAAAATCTAGTTAAATTCAATTACTTCACTTTCACTGAGATCCTTTTCCTGCTCAACAAAATTCTAGTACACTTTCCTCAGATCCAACTTTTAAGAACATAATTTTGGCACTATAAATTACAAGTATACACTTAAAAAAAAAAGTCAGCGGTAGAACCGGATTAGCACAGTTCAATTAAGGCTAACATACTTGGGTCAAATCGAAAAAAGAGCAGTTGAATCTCACTGCGACTCATCTGTTTTGGGTCTGAATATTACTTCACACTGTGGTAAGGAAGAATGCTGTAGGAGCCTTTGTCCATTGCCAAATTTTCCTCGATAGAATACAATTTTTCAACTTCAGTTGAACTGTACAAGCCCTGATCTGCGCCGTTAACACTTATGTATTGATTTGTAGAATAAAATAGAGTGAGCTACTGCTCTGATTTATCAAATAAAAATTTTGCCTAGAGTCACGTAAGCTAAATTACAAACTTACAAGTTATTTACAGGTTATAAATACAATTGAGGAATTTGTTCAACGAATGTCGAAACCTTTCAAAGCATAATATATGCTTCAGAGCGTTGCATACAATATAGTTTTGTCCTAACAGGAAACCATTATCTCATGGTTCAATCAAAATGTTTACAAAGTCTTGCCTTAATAGGTATTTACAGTTTTAATTTCAAAATTGTCAATTTTAGGAAAGTAATGATATAAAAGGTTGGAATTGTATCTGTAAATTCAAATCAATTACTTATAGATAATTATTAGAGTAAAAACTTTTCTCAATGGATCTTCTTGACGCTGAATACGACAGGTAACTAGTGGAATTAGAAGTTACAGAAATCCGTGATGATGATGATAAAATAATGGTTCAGAAAACAACTCTCAAACTGGACGGCAGGAAAGAAATTAACGTATGGTGAGGAAATAGGATACAAATGAAAAAAATAAGGAGAGCTTAGGTTTGAAAAATTGTGTCAATATAAATGAGAATCAAATTTATAAAAAAATAAATACTAGGTTTTCTTTTTTTAAAAAAAAAATCAAGAAAAGAATTTTTGATCTAATAAATAATACTCGAAGAATAATAAATTATAGTTACGTCGTTATTCACACACTTAATTATCTCCTCAAATAAAGTAGTAGACAGCAAAAAAGCAAAAATTTGGTTCCCAAAATTTGAGGATAGGCTAATAGAATAAAGAGCTAATTCAAAAGTGAAAAATCATTTTTTAAGATGACACAGTGAATACAAGAACAAATGAACAAAACAACAAGATTTTAAAATTTTGATCTGAATGACATTACAAACTTCCATTTCAATAGAGATTCAGGTTAACTTAGATTTGAAACCAGAAGTTTCTGCAGCCTTTGACAAAGGATTGCAAGACTTCTTGTGTAAAGGAAAAACATATCACTAATAACTAATGGCATTTTATACAATTAACTTAATATCACAACAACTCAATATTTGTCTTGGGTCATCAAAAGTAACATGGTATCTTTCAATTTGATATCAAAAGTAACTCGGTACCTTTTGACGAACACAAATCACTATTGCTTTTTGTTCATCAGACGTCCTTCGTAAGTTCCTTCTGATAAGCAATCGGAGACTGTATTGCCTTTAAAAAGTCCCGCTGGGTCTGCAGAATTTCTTTCAGTGTTTGGACCCATTCGTTCCGAGCCTCTGGACTAGATGCCTGACAAACGTAGCACATTGCAGGTTTCCGTGGGTCTGTCGACCGTACTAAGAACAGCTCATTTGCATCGTCTCCCGCAACTTTTTCCTCTAGGTTCATTTTATTTACCTGAAACAATGTTATAAAATATTTCAGTGTGTGTAAGAAATTGGTTTTTGTAAAAATATCAAAATCTGCAAAGCAAATCCAGAGAAATTGGGTATCACAACATGGCATAAAACGACCTACTTACCGGTCATAAGAACATCTTCTCTGATCGATCCTGCGGCCAAAATCCCATTAATTCAATGTATTTTTGCATCAGTTTTAACAACAATTGACTACAGCAACCAAATGAGACCAGTCCCTAGAAGGTCGTCATACCTGATTTCCATCGTATCATAATGATTTAGACATTCGCAGTAGACACATTTTCAAATATCCTGCATCCAGGGGCACATTTCTTTCAGTTTCCTGTACCATACTGTACACAATTATAATACTTAGAATATAGAGCAGATACTTAGCGTGCTCTCTGAGAAAAAATAAGATGGTAGTAAAAATTACTCACTTGAATATGTGCTTTGTATATATAGACAGGACTTGTAAATTGAGTCTTTTTGCCTACAGCCTCACTAAAGATTATGTTCTGTTCGAACAGGAATACTTGAAGTTCTTTGCCTTTGAAGGTTCCAGGTAACGGGTTTTCTGCACATACTAGGACTCCATGCAACAGCAGTTTTCCTTGCGCTGTTATTTTGCCCTGTAGTCATAAACAAATATATAGTTAGATTATTTAAAAAGAATATTAAGAAAAATTCTTGTTATTCGGGATGTTTACTAGAATTTTATTTTGGATTTTGGAAATGAAATTTTCTGATTATTAGCGCAAGTAAACTGAGAATCATTTGATTATACAACCTGAATTGAATCAAATGTTTCACTTTTGAAGGTGCTAAATTGCATGCAGTCGAAAAATGCTTGACGCACTTAGAATTTCCTGCTCCATGACCAATTATTATCCTAATATTTTTCTGATGACATTTTTCTGGTTTATACTGACTGCAGACACCCTATTATTATTGTCCAGATAATAGAGATAAAATACCCAAAGATATTCATTTCTAATATTATTCTTAAGTTTGAGAAATTAATTTAATGTTTCCAATTTTATCTTCCTTTCTGCATTATGATTCAATTTATAGTTCATTAATTTAGGCTCTTGATTTGTGATTTAACACCAAATTGATGGCTTAAAAGAGATAAGAATATATTTAATAACCATCAGTGAGAGAAGGAGAAAAATAAGAATATCTTCGAAAGATGCGTATCTCTTTGCTTTGTAATTTTTTTCTAACAGCCAATGCTACTACGGTATGAAAAAGGGACATGAAAACCTATTGACTTACATCAAAGCCTTGGAGTCGACCAACATCCATCATGTCATTGGCATTTTTAGGAACTACTTGCATGACACGTGTCGCCTCTTGTAAGGATTTGACTTCTGCCGCCAGACCGGCCCTTTCAGCATATTTGTACAAATCTCGCAGGAGTAGCTGATACTTTGTTATCCTTTGAACTGGTTTGATGAGAAGGTCACATATTTGTAGTTTGTGCCCCAACTTTTGCCTAAGATCCTGAAATAATTTGAAAGGTTGCAAGTCAATACATAGTGAAATAAATTAAAAGAAAAGATTCGATCAAATCCATTTCTTTTTCAAACAAATCTCGAAAATTTTACGTGAGATCACTATTTGATGAGAATAAGTAATACGTATATGCTCAATCAGACGGATAATTATTAACTTTGCTATAGCAGAAAAATAGAGAAATGATATTGGTGAAGGGGCTGGAATAGCGCTCCTGAAAGCCACAAAAATTTGCAATTTCAGTTCATTTATTTATGTAAACTTTTACGAGAAACAGTATTAAGCCACTGGTTTTTCTCTGAAACAAACTTCCAAATTCAAAAGGAGCTCTTAAAATTGAGGCCATCATGGAGAGGATAGCTTGCATGATAGTGAGAGCCCTCTGCATCCAGTCGATTTCTGTATGCACAACTTTTGGAATCGAAAAGTTTTTTGGAGAAATAACATAACAAAAAATCGCTTTGGAGAAAAAGGCATTGAAGTTTCCTTGATTTCTTCCTGGCCACTGATGGTGACTTACATCGGAGCTTCCAATTTTGGTTTTAAGTAACTGTCAATGGCTAGAAAATAATAATGAAAACTTCGAGAGCATTTTACTCAAACACGATTTTTCGCTACGGCCTCTTATCCCGGAAAGCTTAATTGAGCTTGCTTTCCATTTTCCCTTTTTTCCCTCTGTTATTAATTTATTTTTCGCTTTGTATGAACACTTTCAAGTCAACTCTCTGAAAAGGACTAGGAAGTAAGATCTTTTTGGGACGAAAACAACAAAAAAACGAAAAAAGCCCTTAGGTAAATTAAACTTACCTCAAAATATGTATCAATGTGTTCTGAAACTATGAACTCAGACACAGGTTTGTTCTGACAATATACAACGTACATGTGAAGCTTTCGTTCACATCGGCTAAATAGAGGACCTAATTCTTCTGGGCTATGTAAGCACTTTTCCAAAGCCTTTAAAAATACACTGAAAGCAGAAAAATAAATTTAACATTAAAACAAGAATAAGGATAAATAAAAATCAGGTAAGGTGTGAAAATTAAAAACCGGTTACGCTCTATTAACTGTTTTCAGGACTACACAATTTTCTTCCTTTTGCATGATGGAGGAAGATGAGGTTTGAACATTACGCAAAATTCTCTGATTAGTTACTGGAAAAATTCTGATTCTCATAGACCGGGGACATGTTTTATTTGAGTGAACAGTTTGTAAAGATTAAGGAGAGAAATGAATGTTCCACCGCTATTTAGCAGTGCAGTGCAAAGTCGCAGCGCAGGAAATGTTGTTTTTGTGATGTTTTGCTGAAGCAGAATTGTCCTTACCTGTTCACTGTCTAGTGCATTTCTTTTTTGCTGGAAAACTTTGATACAGACGATGATAATATTTCCTCATCTTAGGAAATAATAGCAATTATACTTTCTTGAAATCTGGAAAATCGTGACAGTTTTCTGATTCCCTCTTACTTTGCAGAAATTCCTCACATAATATGTTTGATTTTACTTAATAAATCCTCCAAGTCCCATGAATTTTTTTTTCTCTTTTTTTCAAACCAGGAATATTACTTGAATGAGAAACTTTACAACACTACCGAATTATAGAGATGGAAAAATCCTGATTTTTTTGTAAAATTTGTCTACAATTTCTTTGAGCTTTCACAGGATTACCAAGATCAGCTCAAGGCCAAAGATAAGCCAAGATAAGCTCAGGTTATTCCGCAGAGTACATAGAGTTGTAATGTATATGGGAGAGCTTGCGCCATGTTCTGGTCGAAGAGTTCGGAGCCCGATGTACGCCAAGCCTGGGTCACTTTTTTGCTCCGTGTTCGATCCAAAATGGCAATTTGGAAACCGTAATAACTCCTATCTCCTTTGTTTACATCGGATGGTCGGGTCCCCGTGTATTGAAGACAATTGATTATGTATCAAAAAAGTGACCCAGCACTACACAGGAGTTTCGGAATTCGGGACCTGGAAAATGCTTAAAAGTGGCGCCCGCTCTCCCACTTACATTACGACTGTATGTACTCTATGGGTTATTAAGATAGGTATGTGCTGATGATTGTCACCCTGAGGGAAAAGAAGAACCACATTTTCTTGAAAAAAAAAAAGGAAAGCAAAAAAGAATACTTACTCCCTATGCCATTCGTAAATTGCTTCAATGTTACCGAACACCATTTTATCTTTTCCGCCGCGTAAGTCCTCCGGCATGGGGATCTCACAGTCTGGATCTCGCATTAATTTTAGGTAACCTTCAACGATAAGTGCCAGGTCCCTCACATAATCTCTTTCTGTTTCTATAAGCTCTCGAATCACATACTCTCTTTTGTGAAGCGCAGACTCTTCAGACTCCTGCGTCGACTCGCCACTACCAAGTTTTGAATTCCTATCTGTATTTTGCTGCTCCTGGTAACAAAATGAAAGAATAAGGTTGAGAAAGTGAAAAACTTAATCATTTCAAAAGTTGAGGAGAAAAAGTGAGGCAATGCTTTTCAAAACCAGAGCTTTCAGAGAATTTCTTTGACTGCTTTCCTTATTTATTTTGAATCCTTGTCACTGCGGTTTTTACTGTACTGACTGTAGAGTGCTAGCCTGATTATCTCACCAACCTCTTCCCTCTATGACACAAACTCAGAGTCCTAATTTTAAATGACATAACTATTTCCAGAAACCTTCTTTGTTCTCAACCACAATCTCATTGGATTTTCGATGGGTGGATGGATACATCTCTGGAAGGAGACAAAACTTAATTTATAAGAGACTTTTCAAGAAATTTTGACTTCATAGCTTTTCCCAAAATTTATAAATATACCTTTCAGGAAATTTTGTTACATCGTTTAGCTGAGTTTCTAGCGCAGCATCGAGGTTTAACTGCTTTTGGAACACTTCATAAGGTGAGTTTTTGTATATACTATGGTTAATAAATAGCTGTGTGATATTTTTCCCCACATACTTAAAAAATAATTCAATTAAAATTTGATGAAACAATAACTATTGCATGAGTGCATGATTGATGCCTACTTAAAAACACACAGAAAAATGAAAAGAATTTAGTATAAACTACAAAAGAACCGCTTGACTACAAAAAAAAAAGAAACCAAAGATCATGGAAACTGCATTAAAAGCAACGTAATAATGCGAATTTCCTTAAAGTAGAGAGATAATACGAAAACTTCATTTCCTAAAATAAATACTAGAGCAACAATAAAGAATCTAAGAAAATGTGCAATTAAAGAGTTTACTTCAGAGTGAAAATAATAAAATTTTAGAGATTGGTAATCACACAAAGATAAGACGAAGATGTGGAAAGACAAAAGAGCTCCAGCTGGACGTTAGTATCAGAAAATTAAAAGCAAGATGCTGCAGGAATTTTTGAGATGAAGACTTGACAAAAACAGTTTGGCGCTTACGGTAAACTTCTACGGATGAGTTTTATAAACAAACATTTTGATTGCAAATTCCTTTCAATCAGTCTTTGGAATTCAATGAGAAAACTTCACCTAGTCATCATTGTTGTGATAGAGAGGTTGAAATCCCTCTTTATATTTTCTCAACTGGACGTATTTCTGCCAAACGGAACTATGTGCATTAAGACGTGAGCCCTGAAACCCATAAGAATAAATGCATGACAGGGCTCATGCCTTAATACACATTGTTCCATTTGGCAGAAATACGTCCAACTATAAAAAGAATGTTCATGACCGGATGAGGAGCCATTCCTAACATATAATATATTGATAATTTGATTCTATTTTCCCTCTTTCCCTAATTATGTTGCGATTACCCGGGTCTGCAAACCCCCAGAATAAATTATATAACGCTCAGTACAACCCACCCCCTCAGACTGGTGTTTTATTATGAATTTTTATAGACAAATTCCCAAATTGACAATGGCACTGATTTTACGTCTTCAATTTTTAAATAATTGGTACTGCACACCCGTTCTAATGCCACATCTTTTATCCGTAGCTTTCCGATTTCAACAGGCAACGTATGCTTTCAAATTCAACCCAAAACTATGAAAACTATAGACTTGAATTGTGATTCAAAGCAGATTTAAGCTTTAACATTGGTTCATTAAAAACATCTAAGGCTAGAGAATAGGACAGCAAGATTTGAAGACATTTACAGAAATAAAAAAGAAGCAAAAATAAAAAACTGGCCGATGCAATAAAGTCTACACTGTGAAATTCATGAATGATAGTGGAAAAAACGAAACAAAATAATGATAGCACACGACAAAACAACAATCAGGATGAAAAATTGAGATTCACCATTCTTTCTTTGCTACACAAAAAGATTTGCTCTATTTCGGCAAAATCTGTGGATGCTGCTCCTTCGACTGATAACGCAGAGGTCTGAAACACAATTCCCTGCATATTTATCATCAAATCAATAAAGAACTCCCATCCCACTATCTTAACTCCTCCTCAACTTTTTTTGCTACACCTCTGGAACACTTCGCAAGTAAATCAACAGATCCAACAGCTTTACCTCATTTAAAGTTCGTCTGAGTTTCTTTCCGTCCATGAATAAACAAATCGAGAGAAGAAGAGAAGAGAATGATCTAATTATTGTAAGTCCACTTGGGTCCGTTGAGAGATAGATGATGTGCCAAACTTTGAGCCTATGCCCGAGGTTCAATTTAAGGAAAATAGAAACTTCAAATTTTTCACTTATGTTGAGTCAAAGTCCACATTTTGGAAGATTGATAGAACAGCAGATTGTTCTTATAAATTGTAAGACTTTCCAATTAATTGGACTTGGTTTTACTCCAACCCTTCATCACAGCTTACGGCGTCAGTTTCTGATTATTTAGAGATGAGTTGATTTCAAGAAAATTGTAAAGTTATACCTCCTGCACGACACAAGCGCAGTTGGTCTGCAGCTATTTTTGCTTACTTAAATAATGTCGTAATAAACTTTATCTGGTCTTTGATGTGCTGAATACAGACAAAAAGGTTGAGGCAGAGGCATTCACTACTGGGCTTCACGATTTTAAAAAAAAATGTTTGCTTTTAAATTCTAGAAATCGCTACTTTTTTAATTTGAATTTAAAACTATTGAATAAAAAAAGGAAATTGACTTAAAATCTTCACAAAAGAATTTCTTGGTGATCAGTTCTTTCCTTCATACGTGACCGCTAAATTTTTTTTTTGCAGTTTGGTTCGCACTACTAGATTTGATTGTAATTTTATTCAAACTTGTAGCAAACTTTGTGAATAGTTTAAAAATTCTCACTGGATGTTGAAATTTCAGACCAGAAAAAAATTCATGGCACAACAGCTTAACGGTTACCTAAGAGTAAAAAGGATTCATAGGTTTGTGAATCGCGAACAACGGCCAGGAAAGAAAAAAGAGGCCGTTAGGACCCTCTTCGGGATTCGTCTATTCCATTCCAACTACTCGTCTTGCGCGGAAGGTATGAATGAATTGGTTACAAAAAAGTCATTAATTTGGTTATACTTAGTGCAATGTTTTGAAATAAAATTAATTGAAGCTAAGGATTTACCCGCTGAGCTTGAGTTTCGTCAGAAGGCATGACTATTGGTTCTGAAATTGGTTTCATGGGTGGAGGTAATTCTAGTTCATCTTCTTCTTCTTCACCGGTCGTTTCTCTACACAATTCCTCATCCGGCGCGGATTTGCTACTGGTAACTTCGCCACCAACTGGGGACTGAAATTAATAAAATTAGGATAATTAATAAAATTAAAACATTAAAATTAATGGTATCCATTTTGAAAAAGTGTTCACTAGAATTTAAACTTCCTGAATTGGCTATTGCAGAAAAAGACTCAAAGGTCTTCAAGACAGAGAAATCAGGAATGGCAATATGAAAAGCATAACAACTGATTGCAAGTAAATTCATAGATGCAATGTGGCAATATCCGAAAAAAAATTCAAAACTAGGATTTAATCCAGGGGTAACAGCAGTGGGATTATTGAAGAGTGTGAATCTCAACTTGAAAAACGCTCTCATTTTTAGGTTCGTCACACCAATGTGACCCTGAATTCTAGTTTGCCCTTCTGTTCTATTACTTTAGAGCATACTGGGGGCATAAAAGGAAGGAAAAACAAAAATAATTCGACGTATTCCAATAAAATAGAACTCTTTACATTGGGAAATTAGCCTTGAAACCCATAAGAATGTATGCATGGTCCCTACCACAATGGAGAAAGTTTCTTTCGATTTAAATTATTCTAATTTAGGGCTGCAACACGGCCGGATTTACCTACTTGCAGCTCATGGGCCACCTGTATTTTGCCGCCCCCTTCTCATTCGTTTTGTAACATCAATGAAAACTATTAAGTGAACGTGCCGGAGGGGAAAGGGTGCATTAGACGCAATTACTCGTGTTGGACACATTTTTTGCGAAAGCCCTGTCAACACTACTAGCAAAGGTTCAAGGAACTTAGCGCGAAAGTCAAGTTCCGTAAACCTCTCTCTGAGAGGACAAGGCCTTCCATTTAAGAGAAATTAAGAAAAAAATTATAAAAGAACAAACATAAATGTGGTTTAATAATTTTAACTTCCGCCGCCGCGCCACGCTGACCGCACTGTGTTTGGCGCAATGCGTGAAGTATTCATCCAGTCTTGTAGGCGCTATGCGTTTCACGTCGACCTCTGCTGACCACACTGTATTTGACGCAATGCGTAAAGCATTCATGCAGTCTTGTAGGCGCTAATATGCGTTACATGCCGACCGCCGCGCCGAGGCGAGGGCTTCTCCTATTCATCTTAAGTCCGCATCATCATTGCTCTCAGCGCCGCGCCACTCCGGGCCAAATTGCGTGTTTGGTTTCTCTAGTCTCTTAACTCGACTTATTGAAAGTGCTGTCTCTTGTATCACCGAAAGACGACAAAATCAAAAATTACTGTACCTACTCTCAGGAAATGAAATATTTTGTCGCCTTATTTTCTCGTTTGTAATTTTTTTTCTGAATCCGATTTTTGTTCATGCCTAAATTTAGGAAAAAATGCAAAGTTTGCCGCCCCCTAAATTTGCCGTCATGGGCCGCGGCCCATGTGACCATCCCCTGAATCCGGCCCTGGGCTGCAATAATTGATAATGGCATTGATGAAAAAGGGAGGGGGGGGGGAGGGAAGGAAGCTGCCAAATTTTTTTTAAAAAAAATTAATATAACATTTCAAATAACAAGGAGTTCTTAATATTGCTGAGAGATTTCAAAGTGGAATTTAAAAATGTGTTCATCAAAAATTCCATAAGAGGGGATCTCTGGCGCACTTACTTTGAATCTTTTATCAGAGCTTGATTTCTTCAATGGGGGTCGATCAGGAGCTCCAGTATTGTTATTGGAACTAGAACTGGAACTTGAGTTTTTGTCAACTTTCCCTTGACTTAACTTCCGGAATTGAGTTGGAATCCACTTGCGCCTGAAACAGAGGAAGAAGAAAAAAAAGTAAGTGTCTTTTCTTGAGGAAATTATGATCAATTTTAGGAAGTTTTCACGCTTTCCTGAATTCGCTTCGTGCAGAGCAGAAGATTCACTAACATTTGCACAAAAATCCGCTTAACCGTATTCATGTAAAAAATGAAATTGCCGAATTAAATAGCAATAGCTGATGTGTCTTGGTTGTCTTGTGTCTTTCTGCTCAACGCGGCCCATAGGGATGGACGAATATCGAATTCGAATGCGAATATTCGAATATTCGAAACTTTTCGAATTCGATTATTGCGAATATTTGAGAATTCGAATCTTGCGATTGCGAATAGTCCGGACGCGAATATTCGAATATTTTCGATTATTGCTTCGATTATTGATTTTTTATGAACCGTGAGAGATAAAATGACACTTTTGACACTTTTGAATGCGATTATTCGAATATTCGAATGCGATTATTCGAATATTCGAATGCGATTATTCGAATATTCGAATTAGCGATTTCGAATGTGATGCGATTATCTCGGTGCCGATGATTCGAATATCTAAATATTCGACTATCCCTAGGCCCAACATGTCTCCAATGAAAAAATAAAATATGACAGAAAGTCAGGGTTGCCACAGAATGTAGAGAATGAAATTCCTTGACATTTCCCTGACACATTTTGGTGAAATTCCCTGACAATTGAAGATATGACAGTTGGTTAAGGAGACATAATTAAAATAGTTTTCAGGCAAAACTTGTTGTTCGAAACCTCAAACCCATTCTAGAAAGGAAATATAGGCGATTAAACCAAATTTTTCCTTACATTTCTGTCATTTTCCCTGACAATTCCCGGTTTACCCAGACATTTTCGTCATTTCCCCTGACTTTTTAAAATTCCCTGGCATTTCCCGGTATTCCCTGACCGCGGGCACCTTCGAAAGTCTGCAAAGTCGCAAAAGGAGATACGCGCTTTCGCACTTCGGCCATCGATACCTTTCAACTGTGCGCGCAAAGGCAGAATTCAAGGAGCGAAACGAATACTGCCGTGCTAAGGAAAAACGCCGTACGAGCATTCCAGAGTTGCCAAATCTCCCTCAATAAATCGTTCAATTTTTAGGAAAGTTATGAATATTTTCCCTCGAAATTTTCAGGCCTTTCCGGTGGAATTGCGAGCAAAATTATCTAAAAAATTGGAAGGAAAATATTCGCAAATTTACCAGGAAAATCGCGTTTTATCTAAGGAAATTTGGCAACGCCTGAACTGCCGTGCTAAGGAAGAACGCCGTACGAACCTTCGAGATTTGCCAAATTTCCCCGAATAAAACATGCATTTTTGAAGAGAGTTTCGCATAATTTTCATTGAAATTGTCAGGTACTTTAGATCCAATTGTGAACAAAATCCTCTGAAAAACTGGAGGAAAAATATTCGGGATTTTCCCAGTAAATTCGGTATTTATCAAAGGGAACTTAGCAACGTCTGAAGGCTCATACGGCGTTCTCCCTTAGCACGGCAGTGAAGGTCCATACGGCGTTTTTCCTCGGCACGGCAGAATAAAGCTGCCTTTGAACTGCGCTGCGACAGGAAATTAATTCCGACGCGAATGATCCAGGGCGCCGCGGAAAATATGATCGCGAAAAGCGGGGGGCGCGGCTGAATTTGCCCTGTTAAAACTTGGCGGACCGCAAGGCCGGGGGGGGCGGCGGCATTTTAACCGGAGCGCTAAACGGAGCCTAATGGAACGGTATAACACCGGGCACCTTTGGGCGGGCTCCGAGGAGCTGGTCCCTCTCGGCGAGAGCCATTTCCTGGAAAACTGATGGATATTTCCCCCCACCCCCAATTTTTCACAGCATTTTATTTGCGATTTAGCCTATAGTATCTGAAAATTTAAACGAAAAATATTCATAGCGCTCCTCAAAAATTAACATTTTATCGGAGGAACTTTGGCAACAATCGAATGTTCATACGGCATTTTCCCTCAGCACGGCAGAATAGGCCTTCGCCTCCGGCGCGGCTTAAATAAATTTTCCACCTTGTTTTTTAAGCCCCCCCCCCCCCCCCCCCTCTGGCGGCACTCACTGCAGCCCCGGCCTCAGCCTCGTTTCAGAGCCGGGCCGTTGAGAGATTACCGCGGACCGCGAGGAAGTAATTCAGCCGGCGAGTTTTCCGGAAAATTGCCGCATTCGCGGTTGAGTAACAGGGTTGCAATTTTTCATGGAAAATAAAATCTTGACATTTCATGTGAAATATTTCATGAATTTTCAGAAACATATGGAAAATATTTTTCGAGATCGAATACAAAATTGAATAAAAGGCGCTTGGAAAATTTGCGCTTTGGAAAATTGCCGCATTCGCGGTTGAGTAACAGGGTTGCAAGTTTTCATGAAAAATAAAATCTTGACATTTCATGTGAAATATTTCATGAACTTGCAGAAACATATGGAAAATATTTTTCGAAATCAAATACAAAATTGAATAAAAGCCGCCTGGAAAATTTGTGCTTTGAAAAATTGCCGCATTCGCGGTTGAGTAACAGGGTTGCAATTTTTCATGAAAAATAAAATCTTGAAATTTCATGTGAAATATTTCATGAACTTTCAGAAACATATGGAAAATATTTTTCGAAATCGAATACAAAATTGAATACAAGGCGCCTGGTTTTTGCTTTTTGGTGTTTTAGTGCGTGTTGCATACTCGGCCCCTGAAAATATGTTTCATATTTTTCATTTCATCCATGCAACCCTGTTGAGTAATGCCATGTTTCCTCCGATCGAACGGACTGCATTTTGCGGGTGGAGCTGATATTCGGACCGAGTTTATCGGAAAGGAACCGACCCACGTTAAGTTGAAACTGAGGAAAAGGGTTTTGAAGATTTATTCCTGCATAAGGCTCGATGTAAAAAATAAACTTTCATCCTTCTTTTCGAGAAAAACTTTCGGTTTTTAGACTTTCGGTTTTTAACGGGAGAGAATTTACGGTTAAAGAAACTGGAAAACAGTCTTAACTCGATTTTTTTCGAAAATCAGGGTGTCTAGTATTTTTTAACTTTGAAAAATCCTGATATTATCCTGATTTTTTCTGACATTTTTTAAAAAGTTCCTGATTTTTCTCGACCCCTGGCACGGTAGGAAAATAGCAGTAAGACTTTCTCCGCTAAGGAGATTTACGTAAGAAAAATTCCTGATAAAACGTCCGATTCTCCGATTTTCCTGATTTTTTCCTGATCGGCCAAAATTCCTGATGCTAGACACCCTGAAAATGTGGGTTGGTTCCTTTCTGATAAACTTGGTCTATTTGGACTGCGCTTTGCAATACTGCCCACTGCCCAGCTGAGTAAAAGCGACGCATGAACCTTCAGACGCTGCCTGATTTTCTTCGATAAAATACGAAATTTACGGGAAAGTAGTCGGTATTTTCCCCGATTTTTCGGACAATTTTGTTCGCAATTTTATTTAAAATATTTGAATTCGAATGTTCATACGGCGTTTTTCCTTTCCAATTTTAGAGACAAAGTATGTATTACAAGTTTCTTTACGCAGATTGGTGCTTTTATGAATAAGCCAGAAACAGAGTGGTTCCTCACTGTAAAATGTGGTCCAAAATGAAGATGGCAACTATTCGGACTCGAGTGTAGTGCGTGATGCATAGAAAAATACTGAAGGCGCTCTGTAGTTCGTTTCTCTCGTCCTCGCAACAGGTCGGCTCATTTGAGGAAAGACGTCTTCTTGTTCGATATTTTTTTGATCTAGGGGATCTCGGAAAACAGCTCAAGATAGTAAACATAAAAAGCGCGTTTACAACAACCATAAATGCGTGAGAAATGTATTAGCATCACAAGGGGCTACGGGAACGGAACTACAAAGCGCCTGCAGATTTGCACCTATGCAATACGGACAGTCGCTGGGCACGTTTAGTTGCATTCCTCGGCCGTTGCAAGCCTGAGAATACATTTCGTCGTTTTCCTCACGAAAGAACGTAACTAAATTTCAATGTTGTCAAATTTCCCATCGTAAATTGCATTTTAACTAGAAAAATCTATGGCATTTTAAACTGAGAATTTCACTGATTTTTCTTCCGATTTAATGCAAAAGTCAGACAAATTTGAATAAAAATTGCACACTTACATTTTTGTAAAATAAATTAATTGTTGGAGTCAATTTGGCAACCTTGGATTGGAGTTTCGTTCCTTCGTGCGGGAGACGACGATTTGGCAACATACGAGGTTTCACGCGGCGTTTTTCCTTTCCTGTATTTACCTGAGTACACGATGCGACCCATTATCTTGCCTCTTAACAATCGCTCCTAGGGACGCACTTAGGTGTTCCTCCGGTCGGAAATCAGATTAATTTAAAAGTAGCGCCGTAAACAGAGAGCTTCCGATGTTTTTTGAGAGGTTTGGAACATTAGGGTGGGGCTGGTTTCACAAGCCCGGGAAGGACTTGAGAGTAGAGGAGCTTTTGACGCTCGTAAAATTTTGCCGCATATGGTTAATATTCTATATTCAACAGTGGCGTGGCGTGCTTTGCAATATATCGATTGTTATACCATTTACACCGATGGAAAAGGATCGATAAACAGGGTGTTCACAGCGAACACCTTAATAATTGATTCTGTACCATGGGTTTAAATGGCATAACAATCGATATATCGCAAAGCACACCACGCCACTGATATTCAAGAGACTTCGAGCTCATATCCGCCGGGATGGAATGTTTGTCCGTATTAAGAGCTAGACTATCTTAATCCGTGTCGTTTTCAGTCCCTCTTTCCGCACTGTAGATTTCTAGGGAATTTAGCAATTAAGTATGCATCTACGGCAGTGGCGAAGAGTGAATGATCGATTATCGATATTCTCCCATTTGAAGCTATGGTAAAGAATCGACTATTGAGATGGTCGTTGCCTATACGGCCTGTTTATCGATAATTTTCCATAGGTTTAAATGGCAGATTGCCTTGACATGTAGAATAATGGTTGAAAAATCGCGTAGCGTTGTTTTCAACTCT